TTACCAAAGTCTCTGTGAAACTCTGTGCTGGCAAAAATACGGTACTGAAATAAGGGGAGTTTTCTATAATGTACCATATTTTTCAATGCATAGCATGACCCCATGTATAATATGTCCCCTATTTTGGGGAAATTGCAAAAAACCCAAAAAAAACCTGTTGTTGAAGTTTGCTGAGCTGTTGAGCTGTTTTCTAATGCCCCCCTGCTGTGACACCATATTAGCCTGTGTATAAGACGACCCCCAATTTATCACTAAAAAAATTCATTAGAAAAGGGCTTCCTATACATGGAAAAATACGGTTAACTAGGCCAGGCCTGAGTGGGGAATAAGAGCATGACAATTGTGAGAACGGACAGAGAGTGAAACAACAGAGTTGCAGAAAACTACTACTCAAGTAGAGTCACTGAAATTAATGGCAATGAACTTGGGTCAATTTATGTCAAAGTTTGCACTAAAAATTAGCTGAATACAACTCATAATGTAAAGCCTCAAGACGAATGTGCATCCTCTGACTTTGTGAAATCACAAGCCCTTCTTATCTATACTGCAAGTCCCAAGGCAATGACAAGAGGAAGCAAAGCTATCACAGATACTTTGCTCTTTCTTGTTCACAGATAAGATCTCATCTTTACCAAAACACATGCAATGGACAGTTTTATGAATCTTTCTCCTGGAAGTTTTGATTGAAGGAGAAAAGCAGGTGCATGAGGTTGAAACTGGAAGTTGACAGTGCTGGAGCAATTTAACCTGTTGGTAAAGGTAAAGGTAAAGGGACCCCTGACCATTAGGTCCAGTCGTGACCGACTCTGGGGTTGCGGTGCTCATCTCGCTTTATTGGCCGAGGGAGCCAGCGTACAGCTTCCGGGTCATGTGGCCAGCATGACTAAGCTGCTTCTGGCAAACCAGAGCAGTGCACGGAAACGCCATTTACCTACCTATTTATCTACTTGCACTTTGACGTGCTTTCAAACTGCTAGGTTGGCAGGAGCAGGAACCGAGCAACGGGAGCTCACCCCGTCGCGGGGATTCAAACTGCTGACCTTCTGATCGGCAAGTCCTAGCGTCCTATAACCTGTTGGTAGCCCGCGTCCTATAACCTGTTGGTAGCAGGGACTATTTGTCAATGGCCATCACCATCAAAGACTTGTGATAGCTCTTACCAATGCACTGGAACTGAGTATCCACACCTCTGCCATGTATTATTTAATATTTAAAATGATAATCCTAAGTGGGAGAAAGGAAAAATGGGATAAAGAAAATACACAAATGCTTCCCAGCTACTAGGCTACTACTTCCAGATAAGTGACTGCTAGGGCTACCAAATCATGACCCATCAAGTGGAATTGCAATTGACTACTGGGAGTTTTATCCTTTTTCTATATGTACATCCAGTTACATCCAATATACTAAAACCAGTAGGGATAACGTAGTTGCCATAGTGGGGGAGGTTCAATTTACCTGAATGGCTGTTTAAAACTAAGCACACATTCACTCTAACTTTGCAATGGGAGCAGTTTTGTCTTCCCATGCCTTTCTAACATTTTAATCTTTTAATTAGTACAGGAATGCTTTTTCAGCTACATTTTCAAAATATTAAAATAGTGAAATACAACTTAAAAACAAAAGCTTTATAGTGCTATAAAACTGTAAAACTGATTTTAGAAAAGTGGTTAATGGGACTGGAAAGGATATCCGAAGGGATCTGTAGTAAGACAAACTGTGCTTGCTGTCTCTCAAAATGAAATCTGGCAATTACTGGTCACATCTTAGCAGTCACGGCCAACATCGCCTAGGTGAGATGCAGTGCTGCAGATACCAAGGAAGTCTGGCAGCCATATTTTTAAGCTGAGTCTCATGGTTGGTTGGCTGGAAGTTGAGGAGATATGGGACATTTGCTAGCATTTATCTCTACACTGTAGTTAACAATGGGAATCTTGTGACTCATCTGATGGATGAACTAATGAAACAACTGGAAATTACATTAATCATTATCACAACTTTGCATACCTAAAATTAGACTGTCCCCTCAGCCCAAATATCTTTTAGTTTGCAGCTAAACCTGAATGACTAGTTTCAAAGCACAGGTGCAAGAAACAAAAATTGTATCGGTTGGATGCTGCACCAAGCCAAATCCTACCTGTGTTCAGTTGACTCACATTTAATTGGGCTTCTGATCAATCTGAAACCTTACATTCAAATGCATCTGAAAAGACGAACCATTAAAAGTGTGAAACAAGGAAGAGGGAAATGAAGAGCAATTGAGCCTGTGCTGTGCTTCAAAGACCAAGGAATGTGGCAGAATGATCTTGCATTCGTATAAACACATTATACTTGTGACCCACATTAGAGCAAAGTAACGCAAACGTACAGGCAACATCTGAGCTCTCCCCAGTGAAGCCGCATGGTCACACAGCAGGGGAAATATCATTCCCAGGCACTGCTGCTCACGTAGCTACTTATTATCCGAGCAACCCTGTAACAAGAGACCTGAAATTGCTGTTTTGTGAAAAAATTCCTGCTGCTAAGAAGGTGGCATGTTTGAATTTAAAAGGCACCCAGCACAGCCAGAGGTTATTTCTGGATCAAAACACTCACACAAGGATGTAAGAATATAATAGAAGAGGGCTGTATTTTTAAAAAGTTATATTTTATGGCAAACATCAAAGTGATACACCTAAGAAGTGGTAAGTTGGAAGTTTGAATATGTGAAACTTAATTACCACAGAACTACTAGGTGAGCCAGTTTAATATTGATCTCCGGTCTAAAGTATTACATACCAGGAATTATCTTTTAATTTTGTAATTAAGGCTACAAAGCTTTCCTTGCCCACTTATTTGAAAGTAAGCCCCATTAGATTCACTGGAAAACAATCTACAGTGGTACCTCGGGTTAAGAACTTAATTCGTTCTGGAGGTCCGTTCTTAACCTGAAACTGTTCTTAATCTGAGATACCACTTTAGCGAATGGGGCCTCCTGCCACCGCCGTGTGATTTCTGTTCTCATCCTGAAGCAAAGCTCTTAACCTGAGGTACTATTTCTGGGTTTGCGGAGTTTGTAACCTGAAGTCTGTAACCTGAAGCCTCTGTAACCCGAGGTACCACTGTATGATTCTCTGTACAAACATATATTTAAATGTTTTGGGCAGAGCTGCACAGGTAGCATTTTATCTGAACATTGTGTTTGCTATTTTGGAGACAGATTACCTTGTAGTATCTGTTGTGTCAAGAAGGAACTCCTGACAACACAGTGTACAGCTGTTATGAATATATCAAACAACTATGTGGTAGCACATTTCCTGAATGTCTAGTTATGCATCATGTTTCCAGTCAACCTACCAAGGCTCAGTGCAGCTGTAACACTAGTGATCAGTTAACCATGGCCAGATTGAAAGCGCACCAATAGCTGCATGGGCCTAATGCTCTTAGATACACAAGAAAAAATGGAAGAGATGCGGGAGGTGAGGGGTCACAACTACTAAAATGGCCGAAAAACAAAAAAAAACCAAAATAAACTATGAGGAGTTTATATGTGGTAGAGAAATAGAGGCAGAGTATTTACAGTTCATTAGAAAGACAAAAAGAAAACCCTTTTATTGCCTCAGTAGGGGTGCTAACGAATTGCTTTGCAAATGAAGATATCTCATCATTAAAGGAGCAAATCTCTGGAAAATAGTATCCCTGGAGCAAACAGATGTAGGATGCTTTAGCCACCCAGAGTGACTGGGGCAACTCAGTCAAAATGGGTTGGGGAGAAATAAAAAATTACAATGTTGAGATTCCTGCATTGCACAGTCCCTTCCAGTTCTACAATTCTATAACGCTATTGAGTTAAATTACTGTGCACTGAATTTTCACCCTACCTCTCACAATCAGTTTCCGAGATTTTAAAATGAAACAGTAGTGTTCTCACAAATCACACCCCATTTTTAGAAAACAGCACATGGGAACAGCACACCTCAGGGAATCAATATTTAATTTACGACATATACAGCTTTAATATAACGGGAAAAGAGCCTGCTGCTGGATAGGGTCAATGACCCATCTAGCCCAGCATCCTGTTCACACAGTAGCCAACATGAAGGGTTGGAAGCGTTACCCTTTTAATTGAGTTAAGACTTCATAATTCAGCTTGCCTTATAGGAAGCCAACACACTGGAGTTTGTCAGTAATGGGGTGCGCGCGTGTGTGTGTCAGCTCTTGTTTATGCTGCAAAGCTTGGGGCCTAAACTGACAAGCTGTAAAATGTGTGCACCCTGCCCCTCTGTTGCGATCCTCCCCGCAATTGCTCCCCCAGAGAGTACATCCCCTGGGCTCGATCCTGCACCCATCTACTTAGGAAAAAGCAATGGGGTTTTACTAGCAGGAACCGAAGTACAGCGGAGCGAGGCGCCTCCCGTTTCGGTGGCTGATACTGTGGTACCTCCGGTTAAGTACTTAATTTGTTCCGGAGGTCCGTTCTTAACCTGAAACTGTTCTTAACCTGAAGCACCACTTTAGCTAATGGGGCCTCCCGCTGCCGCTGCGCTTCCGCCACGCGATTTCTGTTCTCATCCTGAAGCAAAGTTCTTAACCTGAAGCACTATTTCTGGGTTAGCGGAGTCTGTAACCTGAAGCGTATGTAACCCGAGGTACCACTGTATTCCGCTCCCCGCCAGCCCCGCGCAACCTTCCCCGGCTGTGCTTCGGTAACTTGGGGCGAAAATGCACGTCCCCGGCGAGCAAGCCAGGCTCAAACTGAAGCCAGTCCCCCGCCGCGGCCGCTTTTCCCGCGAGCGAGAGGCTTCGCCGCTACGACCCCGCGTCGCCCCGAAGGCTTCGGACCGCGGGAGGTGAAGAGGAGCGAAGGCACTGCAAGCACCTCCCTCCTACGACAGCTAAGAGACAGAATGAGTGACAAGAGGAGCACCAAGACAGCAGCAGCCTAGCGTCCGATTAACAGATGTCCCTCGGAGATCCGGGAATTCTGCTTAATTAAGTCAAGAGCAGCCGAGCGTTCGACCAAGCGATCGGAAGGACCAGGGCCGGGGCGGGGCTTCCTCCTCGCGTCCTTGGCCGCCTTTGTGACGCAAGCGGATGCTGGAGTTTTGAATGCTCCGGCGGTTATTTTGGAGTGGACGTGCGAGCGGGAGGGTGCGGGTCCGCCCGCTTTACGGATCGCGCAGGTGAGGCTGAGGTGCGCGGGGCAGGAATGGTGGCCGCAGGGGTAGGGAGAAGGGCGCGCGCAGGGAGGGCGTTTTTCCCGCCTTTTCACGCGGCGCTCCGGGAGACGCTGAAGCATCAGCCCGTCCAGTTCAGTATTGCCTGCTCTGGCTGGTAGCTGCTCTCCGGGATTTCAGGCAGGGAGCGCCTGCCAACCCTGAGACCGGGGGTGGAGCGTGGGACATTCTGCATGCAAAGCTGGTGCTTTGGCATTTAACTGCGGTTCTGCAGCATCCTTACACGAGAGTAAACTGCTGTGGGGTTTACTTCGGAATGCCAGTTGCTCTTGTACTCGGGTCCCGCTTGCGGGTTTCCCACAGGCATCTAGTTGGCCACTGTGAGAACAGGATGCTGGACTAGGTGAGCCATTGGCCTCATCCTGAGGGCCCTTGTATTCTTTCTCCCCGTGGGTTGCCTTCGGAGTAAATATGCACTAGGATCCGGGTGCAAATCATGGTTGGTATAGGAGGGTGATGTTGATGTTGTTGGGCGCATCCTACAGTCTGAGTGGTGAGAAGCACTTACCTGACTTCAGTTTCCTTTGGTATTATTACTACAGTGGTACCTCGGGTTACATACGCTTCAGGTTACAGGCTCCACTAACCCAGAAATATTACCTTGGGTTAAGAACTTTGCTTCAGGATGAGAACAGAAATCGTGCTCTGGCGGCGCAGCAGCAGCAGGAGGCCCCATTAGCTAAAGTGGTGCTTCAGATTAAGAACAGTTTCAGGTTAAGTACGGACCTCCGGAACGAATTAAGTACTTAACCTGAGGTACCACTGTATTGCTGTCAATTAAATTTGTATACCGCGCTGAGATCTACAGATGAAGGGTGGTACAACATAAAAATACAATATAAAACAGGCAAAATGCACAATAAAAAGAGGAACAAAGGCAAACCAAAAAATCTCCCCTCCTACTACACATTTAATTGAATGTGAATCAGCAAAGGCTGGTTGAAGAGGAATGTTCTATGCCTGCTGCCTAAAGGTGTATACTGTAATTAAAGTGCCAGACACTGGATGTTTTACTGGTGTTCTGTAATATTGGAGTATATTTATAAGTATTCCACATCCTATATGTTGAGAGAGAAACCACACACTAATGCCCCCAGAGCCCAAAATTCAGTACTCAGTTCTTTGTGTAGTTCAAAACTGGAGTCTTTTCTTTCCAGAGCAATACCTTATTCCATCCTCCTGGCTGGGTGGGAGAAGAGAAGAAAGATATACTGTACAGCCCCCTCCCAGCTTTTCTTTCAGATGGCAACGTACTGTTGTCTAGTTACAGTTTTTCGAGTGGTTGACAGAGTTACTTCTGCTCAAAGAAATACAGTAGGAGAATCTGTAACATGCTTAAAAGAAGAATTTTTTTTTGAGGGACAGCCATGCTACAGAAAATACCATTAAGGCTGATGAATTATAGTGTGATCCTGTGCATATCAGACTTGCTGTGTTTTGTGCAAGACTTACTCCCTAGTCATGCACTCTTACTTGAAAGTAAGCCCCACTGAATTCAGTTGGGTGTGCTTTTAAGTAAACATGCATACTATTGTGAAGTTGGTTCAAAGTAGATTATGCTAAAGTAACTTTATTAGCTTTAAGGTAGGATAAAACTCTTATTTGTTTGCTTTAAAGGGCTGTTTACTGAGGATTTTATTTTTTACAGCCCCTCTTTCTTCCCACTGATGCCTGTTTTCTATATGTTTGAAATCCCCAGGAATATGATTTTCCACATTTTTTTTATTGTGACAGAGCTCCTCTTTCTACATTTAACAGCTAGCATTTTATATTGAAAAACATTCTTAAATTCAACACTTGACATTACAATTAAAACAAAAAAAAATTTGAGAGGGAAACAAGGAAACAATAGGGTTTTCATTCAGAGCGCTAAATAATAAAATTTTCACCTGTCAAAAAGTTAAAATCATTAATTTAATCATTTTATACTGTGGCTTATGAAGGTAAAATTGTAAAGTAAAACAATTTAAAGCAGAAAAACGAAATCACAGATAATGGGAAAGAAGAATGCCTACCATCAACTACAATTGCGCTACACTATGTCCTTTCCTGGATAGGGATAGCTTGATCACTAATTCACACACTGGGAACCTCCCCTATGCATTAGTGTCATGCACTAAAGTGGGGCTATTTCACAACTGGGGCATCATCAATGAAGAGTCCCTAAATCCCAGTTACCCACCTCAGCTTTGAAAATGACATCTAGGAGTAGAGCCTGAAATGCAGAACTTAAAGAGCAGGCAGGTTCATAGTCTGGAAACATGTCATACAGGAATTCAGCTGGTGCAAACAAACCATTTCCCATCATTTCCTTTATGTCAGGAAAAGCTTTACCTGTTGAATTTTTGTGTGCCACACAGTTGTCAATGCCAGAAATAAAAAAGCAACCCAACCCAGGGAAGCACTTACAAAAAGAGAATAACATTTGTTTCCCTTTGTGCCATTATTTTGCAAGGCTGGAAGGTGACAAGGAGCCATTTTTCAGTTCATTTCTCATTTGTCTCTTCCTTCCCAACCACTGTGGTGATGCTCTCAGTCATTCACTGCCCTAAGCAGATAACGTCCCGTTACTGACTCTTCCCCACTGGGCCTTTAAAGCCCTGAACAGCCTCAGCCCAGTATACCTGAAGGAATGTCTCCACCCCCATTGTTTAGCCCGGACACTGAGGTCCTCCTCCGAGGGTCTTCCGCTGGTTCCCTCACTGCAAGAAGTGAAGTTACAGCGAACCAGGCAAAGGGCCTTCTTGGTAGTGGCACCCTCCCTGTGGAACACCTCCCCCCCCCTTTCAGATGTCAAAGAGATAAAGAATATATAACTTTTAGAAGACATCTGAAGGTAGCCCTGTATTGGGAAGTTTTGTTTGATGTTTTATTATGCTTTGATATATGCTGTGGGCTGCCTAGAGTGGCTAGGGAAACCCAGCCAAATGGGCAGTGTATAAATATTATTATTACTGTCAAGTTGATCACTGTGACTTAGCAACTGTTTATGGTTGGAGCACTCTTTTCTATAAGTAGTGAAAGGGCTGAAGCAGTTGACGTATTTCAGCATCCATATATTACACATGTGCTTCTGTTTCATAGGGTTATCTTCCCTGTTTCCACTGAACACCCTAGAACCTTAGGCTGAAATATCTTCCTTTTTCTAGTGAGATTTCTTAAGTTACTGTTTGGGTTCCAGTCTAAGTAGGTTTGTAGGTTGTAAGTCCAAAGTACTAGGAAGCAAGTCCTATTGAATTCAGTGGACGGTTCTGAGTAAACTGAGCTAAAAGACTCTAAGATACTTCCCAAGTTCAGGAATGTTAAGTCATTTCAGATTTGCTGTGTATAATACATGGAGGCTGGTTATTATTGCTTGGAGCTGTCCTTCAATTTAGAGAGAATTTCCGCTAAAAACGGAATATGATTTGCTAAACAAATAGCCCAGTGGTTTCCTTTCAAGTGGTAGCATTAGGCTGTCACAAACCACAATGTGAACTTAAGACCACTTCATATTTAAATTCAGGACACATACAGTGAACTGAAATGGCATCTGTGAAAGCTCCTGAAGTGCAAAGCTTGTCTTTGTTGCCTGTTAACAGAAGGGAAAACATGCATTTGAAATTCTGTCTCCTTTCCTTGTTTTGTTTGTTTAGAACATTTTATTTAAAACTGACTGACTGTGGTAGTGTAGATTTGACTTTGAAATCAGACTTGCTCCAAAATAAGTTGTTGGTTTTTTTAATACACACATTTTTTCCATAGTTCTCAAAAGTGACTGTTAGCTGCAGGTGTTCTTTTGTTTTATCTCAGCAGTGGAGAACCTTTGGCCCAACAGGGGTCCTAATTTTACCCACAAAGCCATTTTCTCCAAGCCATGCCCCAAGTCATTTTTCTATTTATTTTTTATTTCATAAAAATTTTGTACCACTTGATTCGGGAAAATCTTCAGAGTGGTTTATATGACATCAGGTGTGGGGCAGGTTAAAAAAAACATGGCTGCAAACGAACAATTGGGAGCTGTAAAGCAGGCTTCTTCAAACTCAGCCCTCCAGATGTTTCGAGACTACAATTCCCATCATCCCTGACCACTGGTCCTGCTAGCTAGGGATCATGGGAGTTGTAGGCCAGAAACACCTGAGGGCCGAGTTTGAGGAAGCCTGCTGTAAAGTGTACTGTGTGAGGAAAACCTGAGCTTACAGGGTTAAACAGCTCAGAGTGTACGCTCTGCCTACTAGTGGGAGGGAAATGCTACGTCAGTTCCGAGAGACTCAAGTCTTTGTTCTGTCTCTCTACTTTCGCTTTTGAGGAGAGAGGACGTGTTTTCGCGATGCTGTTCGCTGTGATAGATAATGGATAGCCTGCTGTAAATAAAGCTGCTTTTAGCTGCTAAGATCCTGTGTGGACTTTATTTAAGCACACTGAAGAATGCACTGGAGTTTTGTTTTGGTTTCCTCTTACCGCTGTTGAAACTCTGCTATGCTGAGATGAGTCGGACTTTTGGAATGCAGAGGCCCGTGATGGGGGAAGCGTGCCGGACCAAGCTTATCTGAGCAATAAATCAAAATATCTCAGATATCTTACCAAGAAACTGTTGCTTGTTTCTTGGTAAGCAGGGCTTCCAAGACCTGCTAGGGTTGGTTCCATTCAGGAGTACTCAATCAGAGCTCCCAGGTGGAGTGCATCCCTGACAAAATTGGGATTTGAAGTCAGCACCAATCAGCTGTTTGGTGTGACTTCAAGCCCCAGTGAGAACAGGGAACTTCGGAATATAGCTTGTCCCTGCTTGAAAGCAGGGTGTGAAGAAAATGGTGTTCGGCAATGACTTCAAGCGCTACTTTGACTTGAAGAGGTGCAGCATAAGGGGCAGATAGGTTCTCTGAAATCATGGTGACACCAGGTGATTAACAGGTGGACAGTCCCACCCACCTGTCAGAGTGGCTTGCAAGGGTGAGGAAGCTCAGGATACAGCCCCCCAGCTGGATCCTTTTCTTTGCCATTGTTTTATCTGAAGTCATGACACCATCTCAAGTTTGAAATAAAACCTGCCTTGTTACGTTTATTCATTTTTGATAAAAAGTATCAACCTTGACTTGTATGAAATGTATTTCTGTAACCCATGTTGTACATGTCTGGGAATAGAAAAATAAAGCTTTTTAAAATAGTGTTTTGATTACTTAGCATGATCCGGATAACCGAAGTTCCACCCCACAAAAAAGCCTGCAGAGGAAATAAAAGTTTGCTAAAGATCATTAAAACTCTGTGCACATGCATACCTTTCTTTATCCATCTGCTGAATTTAGGAAACTTCTGCTGTGATCCTCAAGATGCTTACTCAGGAGTATTTTGCTTATTTCTGGGTAGACAAGTGTTTAGGATAATAAAATATTCCCAGTTTCTTTTTCTGTAAGAGGAATGATCGAAGATAGTGAAGGTTGTAACTTTTCCCATCTGCTTCTGTCCATGTTACACAGGAAACCCTACCTGTACAGATGATATCAGTTGAAATACTTAGAGCTAGTGGATCTTGAATGCCTTTGGAAATTATTGAGAAAAGAATATTTTTTCAGGAGAGGTAATCAAAAAACAAAAAAGATTTATGATTTGGTTGTTTTGTATAGTCGGCTAAATACTGTTGCCAACACAGAGGCCTTTTGCCAATTTCAAACCAATGTCCCTCTTGGAAGCCATCCTCTGAAGTGGGGGTGGGCAGAGAGTTATCTCTTGTTGGAGCTCTGTTTGTGGAATAAAATCTCTGCAAGCTGTCTTTTGAGCAGCAGGCAAAAGCCTTATTTTTGCAGACCTGTTTTCTCCCAAATGGATGATCCTGCATGGAGCTTATAACTAGGATTTCTATGTAGTATCTGTTTCAGAACTTTTTATTGGTGCATACTGTATTCCTAAAACAATTAAAATTAGCTTTTCATTCAAAACTTAACATATGGTCAGTGTAATGCAGCGATAGTGGTGCAAATTCATTAGTCTCCTTTCCAGCTAGCCAAGCTAAACTGTTGTGATATCTTTGCTTGTTGGAGAAGTGGGACGTTGGAGGCTAACTTAAACTGACATATTGTGTTTGGGAAGAAGATTTTAAGCAAAGTATTAACCTTACACTAGGCATAGAAGATACTTGCATCTTGGGGTTTGCTGTATTGCAAAGTGGCTTATTTTGCAGGCTTAGAAATTCAACTTACCACTGAGATTTTTATTGGGTATCTACTAGATTGGTACCCAAGGGAACATTCCAAGTCATTCTAAGGGAGCAAGAGGCATTTATAATGGCAAAATACCCTTTTGTATAAGCTTACTGGCTCATGACGTACCTTTCTGGAGTGTTGGATAACAACTATACTGTCCCAGAGCAAGTGCCTTTATGACCTAATTGCTCCAAAGTAATACCTTTGTGACCTGTTATCTCATCTCACTGCTTGCCTCTTCAGTTGACACAAAAACTCAACTCCCCTCTCATCCCCTCCCCTACCCCTCCTTCCCTCTTTTTTTCTTTTTCTTCACTTGTTCCTTATCATCTTATTTTTCTGGATGAAGACTGAAGGCAGGACTCTCAGCTGACTCACAGAGACAAAATAGCTAACTGCAAGGACGCTAGGAGCTTATTTTCTTCCAGCTAATTTTGTACCACCGAAAAGATAATGTATTTGCTTTTCTGAATTTCAAGTTTATTCTAAAAATGTTGTTGTGGCTACTTTTAAAAATAACGGCAAATTTCAATGAACTACTGATTAATACAAAACCTGAAGCCAGATTTGTCATGACAGCAGAAAAGTATACTGAGTAGTTAAACCAATAATTCTGTTTCCTGTACTTTGTTTTTAATTTGAAACAGAGAATACTGGGTATGGTACTAGACTAAAAAGACTAATATCAGGTATGCTGCAACTGATTTTTTTTCTTCTTCCATATTTAACAGTTGGAAGGAGAACGCTAGGATGAGTGATAACATTGTTGGCTGCCTTCAGAAACTGAGTAAGTACCGTGCATGTTTACTTAATTAATGCAGGCTTCCTCAATCTTGGCCCTCCAGGTGTTTTGAGACTATAATTCCCATCATCCCTGACCACTGGTCCTGCTAGCTAGGGATCATGGGAGTTTTAGACCAAAAACATCTGGAGGGCCGAGGTTGAGGAAGCCTGAATTAATGTAACCAAATGCCAATCATGGATTTGTACAAAAAAAGAACTGTGTTTTTAATGCTAGTGCAATTTGCCATTTCAAATTCATGTAACAATTGTTTCAGGGGCTGGATAATTAACTATTCTTGGACATTGTCACTCTGCCCCATTCTTAATAAGCCTAGCTGTACCAAGGAGCTAAAGGTTCCATACCTTGTTCTCCTCCCCATTTTATCCTCCCAAAGGTACTGTGAAGTAGGTTAGGCTGAGAGAGGGTCAAGGTCAACCAGTAAGCTTTCTAGCTGATGGAATTTGAACCTTGGTCTCCCAGGTCCTAATCTAACCTCTGTACCACACTAACCTGCTACAAACAAGCACTGCAGTAATTACTGGCAGATGGAATTTGAAAGATTTATTTAAACTGATACCTAACCTTGCAATTAGATTTGCAGTCCCTGCCCCAAATCTTCAGACATAGAATGCTTCATCGTCTATGTATCTTGTTCTTGGCTTTGTTATCCGTACTGGATCAGTCACTAAAACCCCCATGTTGGACAATCTTCAGTGTTCTAGCAATTTTGTTTTAGTTCTGATTTTTCCTATTGAACTCAACAACTGGATGCAATGTTCCCATATTTTTGAAGAGGGAGTGTATGTGTCTGTGATTGTGAATTGCCACTGTTCCAGAAATATGGGTGACCTCTGTGCCAAAACATAGTTCAGCACAGAGAAATGCACCACAGGGAGCTTCAGGGTCATGCTCCGCTCATTCAGTGCTTCCAAACGCCCTCCCCAGCTGTGCAAGGGAGGGGCACTCACTGCAGCTCATTCCTGTCTCTGAACATCATGCCACACAATGCCTCCTCCCCCTCCCCACTTTCCTCTAGCAGGAGCATCTGCTAGATCTCAGTCCCTTCTTTGAATGGAAGGGATACTGGATGCAACCCATTGTGTCCAGGTATTGTTGCTTTGTGTCGAAAGGGTATATCTTACAACTTGAAACATCTGTTAAACATCTAAAGAAAAAGTGGCATTTCAGAGAACTAACGCACTATATAAAATTGCTTCTTAATATTTTAGCCTGTGAATTTTGTCAACGGGCTGATGACCGTCCTGAAAAGTATGGGGAAAGGAGGACTTACGAGGACTACAATCTCACTGTTCATTATTACTGTGTGGTAAGTATTTTCTTTTGAACCAGCAAAGTTCTAAATACTTTGCTACAGTGAAAACCAACACAGAGCATGTGTATGTGGGTTTCTTCAGTAATGTTTTTTCTCAAGTGGAAAGTTATCATTTTTATAACTTAGCAGTAATCCATTCCTTTATTGTAGTTAATGTCAAGTGGGATTTGGCAGAGAGGTGAAGACGAAGAAGGTTTTTATGGGTTTTTACCTGAGGACATCCAAAAAGAAATTAATCGAGCTGCAAGACTGGTAAGAATATATCTTGAATGTTGAGACTGTTCCAAAGAGTTATCTGACCAGAAGGACATAGCATCATGTATACCAGTACAATATGCTAAAATATGATATAGTTGAGTTTCACTAAGGCTACAGTCTTGCTCTGGCATTATAGGCAGATATTGATGCAACTGTGTTGGTTAAAGAAATCTGTATAGCATTAAGCAGTCATTTCTAGTTAATGGTTAGGATAGCAGTGAATAAAACCCAGGGAATTAAAAAAAAATAGTTGTAGTAAACAATCCTGCTTCTTTCTTTTTTTTGAAGTTGAGAAAGCCAAATCACTTCTCAGGTAACCTGTAGAATTAACTGTATAAAAACAGTTAACTTCTGTGATTGGTGTTAAGCAAAATTAATCAAATCTCTAAACTAACGGTTCTGGAAATGCCAAAAGCATGCTAGAAATTTCTGCCACAAATAGAAGTACTGAAGATGTAGAGTGGGAATTGGGAGTAAGATACTTACATATATTTTTAAGACAGAGTCATTAATGCTGTTCTGTTGTTATATAAAGTTATTTGCAAATCTGAAAGATAGCATTTTAAATGTTCACATTAGCTGGAGTTCTGTATACAAAATACTAGTGATAATGGACAATTCTGAATGAGTGGCTATGCAGATGACAGGATTATTGCTTGGTTTTGCAGTGAACCAAAAGAGAAAAGAAAGCTAGTTACATTTTCATTTACATAATAGAAAAATGAACTACAGTGGAACCTCTACTTACAACCATAATCTGTTCCGGAGGTCCAGTCATAACTAGAAATGTACATAAGTAGAGGTACACTTTTCCATAGAAAGTAATGGAAAAGTGAATTCATCCGTCCTAGACGATGAGAAACATCCCCTAAAACAGTAACTTAACATGGATTTTACTGTCTAACGAGACCATAGATCCATAAAATGAAGGCAATAATCAATGTACTGTACTATAAAATAAATAAGACAGTACCGTAGATGAAAAAAATTAACTTTTTTTTTTCTTACGTGCACTGAGGGTGGGCGGGCTTACCTGGCTACAAGCTGGGGGTGGGGCAAGGGTCAGTAAAGAGCTGGTTCACTTCGGCCAGGGTCACTTTTTTTTCTTGCCAGGCCAGGTTTTTTTCTGGACTTCCTCAGGTTAGTTCCTCGGCGGGGTTTGGGGCTACAGTGCGCCCTGCTGCGCCTCTTCCACAGCTTCGGGGGTGGGATGGGGGCCCTCTCCCCAGCAGCAGAGACCTCAGCGCTGCTCCACAGCCAGCCGGGCTAGCTCCGGGATGCTGGCAAGGCCTCTGTTCATATCTAGAGAAAAGTTCATAAGTCGAAGCACCTACTGAAGGTCATAACTGGAACGGTATGTAAGTAGAGCTGTACGTAAGTCAAGGTTCCACCTCGTGGAACATTTGAGAAAAGGCTTGTTATTGTTTTGACTAGTAGTGATGAATTATTCAACAGTGCATTTCTCTTAATATACATTTTATACAGTTATATATTGCTTCTTATTTTAAGCAGAGGTTAGAATAACTACTAAAACAAAAAATTAAAACAACTGGTGGTATTTGTTTTTAGAAATGTGCTATCTGTAAGAAAAGAGGTGCTTCAATTGGTTGTGTGGCGTCCAGATGCAAACGAAGTTACCACTTTCCTTGTGGGGTAGAGAGAGGATGCATTTTCCAATTCAGAGAAAATTTTCCGTAAGTTATTTTCATTAACTTTTAGTAAAATTAACTAGAGCCAAAAAGCTGCAAGTTGCAAAGTTCTTGTTAATGTGGAGTTATTTAAATACAATATATAAATTGGATGATATCTAGTTGTGGCGTCCCACTTGCACGACAGATTTCCACTCACATAAAAACAGGAATCCCTCTTGCTCTTCTCTCATCTTGCAACCACATAAACACCTCCCAAATCCCTAGAGATCAGATATTACCATTGGTTAGAACTGTTCTGCTGTGCATAGTAATGCAACACCTCTACTGCTATTTCATTCATTGCTTATTTGGCTTACTTTGGGTCTTAAAAACACCCTTCTCTCTGTACACATTGTTTATATATACATATCCACTTAGGTGATCACTTCATATATCTGATGTTGATTCCAGCCCACAAAAGCTTATACCAAGAGAAATTTGTTGGTCTTAAGTTGCCCCATGTTTCTTTGTTGCTTGGAATGTCAGTAAGCTTTTACAGATAATAACCTTGCAGTGGCTCTGTATTTTTCAGGTCATACTGTTGGAAACACCGACCCACACAAAAACGTTCCCCAACCTCTAAAGGATCATCACAGTGTACCATATGTTTAGAGTTGGTTGAACATGCACCATCGTATAACATTTTGGCAAGTCCGTGCTGCAAAAACGCTTGGTTTCATAGAGACTGTTTGCAGGTATGTCCAGAACACCACAATAATATTACTTTCTTTTACTACTAAAAAGAAGTATGCTGTACAATGATGGAAAGCACTTGTATAGTTTAATCCAAGTAGGACCGGCAATAAAAATGTTGCAAAATTGAATGTTCCTGTTCAGGGAGCCAGCCAGCTTTGCCCTCTTCCAGGAGACTTCATTTCAGGTTGGGGACCAATTCAGCTTCAAGCAAAGAACTTTAAAGTGAGTTCCTTACTATTCCTTTGCTGAAGCAAGATGAACACCTACCCACCCATCAGCTGATCCTGATCAGCTGATGAGCAGTGGGAGTGTACCTTGCTTCAGAATCAAGAAGGGGTTTGCATTGAAACCCCTGCTAAAACTGAAGAAAGACCTTCATATTTAGCAACATTCTCTATGCAAACTGCTTCATGAACCTGAGAAGCCTCTATAGAGCAGGCATGGCCAAACTTGGCCCTCCAGCTGTTTTGGAACTACAACTCCCATCATGCCTAGCTAACAGGACCTGTGGTCAGGGATGATGGGAGTTGTAGTCCCAAAACAGTTGGAGGACCAAGTTTGGCCAGGACTGCTATAGAGGCACACTCAGAACATTCCTAGAGAGGCTTTTTACCTGATATCGCTGCGACATCAGATGATTGTTAGGTGATGGCTCCACCCACCTGGCAAATCTTACCCATGGTGGTAGGGCAAAGACAGATCTGGCCCACCAGGGGGAAAACGGTTTCCCACCCCTGCACTAAAAGCTAACTGAAATAAGAGTCACAAATTCTATAATAACTGGCATGGGAGCAAACTATAAAGTTTTATAATGCATCAGTGGTGTTTCCTAGAGTAGCATAAGCATGCATGTACACAAACAAATTTCCATATCCCTACTTCAAAGTTTACAATCTAAATGTCATTAGTAAGATTTGGGAGGACGATAAAAGGAATGAATATGAGCAAATGCAGTAACATGTACTTGGGAAAATCAGTTTTCTGTTGGAAACCAGGATAGAACTGCCAAACTCATCCTGTACTCTTTAGCCATAACTACTGATAATGTGGAGTAAATGTGCTTTTTGCATTGAAAGCTTTACAAGCTCAGAACTAGTAAGCACTTGCAAAATTAACAGGATATAGCAGGCAATGTTACAACTGCTCCACTGGCTACCGGTCTGTTTCCGAGCACAAGTCAACGTGCTGGTTATGACCTATAAAGTCCTACACAGCTTAGGTCCCGGCTATCTGAAAGTTTTTCTTTCTCATATGAACCTGCATGGGACCTGGGATCTTCACTTGCACAGGCATCCTTGAGCGGGGGGGGGGGGGCAGGATATAAATAAATATAGTAATGGTAATAAGCATTAAAGAAATTGTCATTAGTATAGCCTACTACAGATACTGTGTTGTACCCTCATCTTGTCTCTTGTACCCTCATCTTGTCCAGCATCCAGAATCTTGTCTGATTTACTGATCATTTTTCTCTCTTTTGGATCCAGTGTCAAGCGCTAAGTGCAGGGGTATTTTTCTTTAGATGCCCAGTATGTAATAATAAAGAGAAATTTCAGAATGAAATGTTGAGAATGGGCTTACATATTCCAGAAAAGTAAGTACCTCCCAAAATATTGTTTTATTTTTAAGAATATATTGTACAGGTTTATAGTTAAGGCTGTATACCACTAGGTATATTTAACAGGAGAGTGAGATATACATGGTTAATTCTCTTTTGAAATTTATGGTGTATTATTTTGTATCATTTTTCTATTAAGCTGCTTTTTTCATGGGTTTATATTAAGGGCAGGAGGCATGTTTTTCATTAGTTTTAATAGTAAAGGTTGAAATTAAGATGCAAGATGGAAAGAACTGAACATTTTAGCTACTGCAAAGTATTTTAACAACTCATTTCTTAAGAGATGAAGGCACAGAGACTTAGATTAGGAGACAAATGATTTTTGTCAAGACACACACAATACAAAGCCGCATTTAACCCTAGAAAGGGATGTGGGAAATCTTTTTTTGAAGTTTTCCAAATTTTGTAAATGCTGGTTGTTCAGGAACCCAGGGGTTAATCAGCTTGCTCCGATAGATGGGAGATCTGAATTACAAAAGCATAGACTATCCAACAGCTACTGATTTTCTGTAGATTCCATCTTCTCTTGATAATAGTAAAATCATATATTACTATTGAAACAAGGAAAGCTGCAGTGTAGGCTTGAAATGTTCAAATAAGTTTTAATGTTTCCAGAGATGCCTCCTGGGAACTGGAAGAGAATGCATACCAGGACCTTCTTCAGTGCTACCAACACTGTGACGTCAATGTCTGCCTCTGCGAAAATGGAAGAAACTACAGTGAGCCAGATAGGTATTAATAAATGTGGTCCTTGGACATAAGCATGTTTAATATGCTCGTAGTTTATAGGAATGTCATCTTGTCCTGCTTCCATCCATAATTAAATTAAATTAATTTAATTCAAAGTCAGTTGGACATGATGATGACCACATAAGTGCCTGGTGGATCAGGCCCATCTAGTCCACCATCCTGTTCTTGCAATGACCTTCCCTAGATGTCTGTAGGAAGCCCCACTATAGGGCCAGCTGTGGAGGTAGAACATAATTGTCATAGTTAGTAGCTGTTGATCACCTTATTCTATATATGGAATTATACTAAGACAACAAAACTAGTGTTCCTTAACTTAAATTGCCTGGTGAGTTTTTGTTTCCTTGTAATAAGATATTGGCATATTGATTTTATGTTGCCAGTCATTAGGTCTTCATGTTTAGAAATCTGAAACTCTGAAGAAACAGGAAAGCATGCACCCTATGTGTGTGTCAACATTAGAGGACCTGGTCCATGTCCCATGCCATCACTAGGAAGGTTTCATCATTATTTTTATTCCTTCAATGAAGTGGTGGCTTTTCTAGAAGGCATTGGGGGATGGCATACTTTGACTATCTGTAGAGCTGAGTTACCATTAGGTTGAACTGAATGGCTAGTTCTGCGAGCTGAATAGAACATTTGAGTCCTGCCCAGTGTGCTTTTGCAGCTGTGGAGTTATGTTTGATTCTTTTTAAAAGTGTATTATTTATTATTGCTAGGTATCTTGTATCCTTTGCTAAAGAGAGCCAGGGTAAATATATTAAATATAAAATAATATTGGTAATCTTTGACCTGCACCTCCCATTTTACCACATATATGTTGCAACTGAAATTTATGTCCCATCTTGGGAAATATACTGATGCAAAGTGAAGCCATAACTAGTTACATTGAGTTAACTCTTCTCTTTTTTAAGTTTAACGGTCTTAATTTTTAAAATGCATTTTTGTTTTCTTTTAGCAAATGGGAAATAAAGCGCTGTCAATATTGTGGTTCGAGTGGAACTCACTTGGCATGTTCCTCACTAACAAGTTGGGAGCAAAATTGGGAATGCATAGAATGTAGAACTATCCTTGCCAAATCAACTGGTATGAAACTGTTCACCATTCTACTTGAATTAATTTAAACTTTTTTAAAGATTTTAGATGAGAAATTGTGTTAATTTCATTACACAGGGAACTGTCAGAAATGGCGAAAGCGTTCTCGGAGTATGCCAGAAAAAACAGATATTGGCGATAGCTTGCTGGAAGAGCCGTCACCCAAATGTCCCAGACAGTCTCCTGGATCCCATCTTGGCTTCCTTGTCAGGCATGTGATGTTCTTTCATTTGCAGTTGTGTGGAAACAAACAGGCAGTGTTCACACATCATGCTAAACCACAGTTGAACGCAATGTAAATGAACAGGAATGAGCTGCAGTGAACCTCATGTTTATGCTCGCTCTTCCCACATGGCTGGGGGATGTTGAGAGTTCTTACTTTTGGTTCTGCAGTCTGTAACACTGGTCAGTTGCCTGTCCTGGCTGAGGTCCACCCCCATGCCCAAAGGAGCAGATGTGCAGTCTGGGGGTTCTTGTGGACCCAGCATTGCCACTGGAGGCCCAGGTAGCCCCAGTAGCTAAAAGTGTCTTTTACCAGCTGCATTTGGTATGACGGTTTCAGCTGTTCCTGGGCTGGGAAAGCACTGGTGACTTCAAGATTAGATTAACTCAGTATACTCTATGTGGGGCTTCCCTTTCACTTTGCCTGGAAACTGCAGTTAATGCAGAATGCTGCAGCATAGTTGCTGACAGGAGTAAGGCCCTGTCGGCACATAATGCCTCTGCTCAGAGATCTGCACTAGTTGCCGATTTGTTCAAGCCAAGTTTAAGGTTTAACTGTTCTTATATAAAGCCCATAATGGCTTGGGAATGTTTTCCTTGCGGCATCACCTTACTCCATATATGTCACTTGACCAAAATTGGCACTGTTAAAGGTGCCACGTAATATTCATTCCACAGTTGTGAGAAATTGATATTTTAGTGTGGCAGCACCTATACTATGGAATTCCTTGCCTTTTAGTACCAAGCAGCCACCTTCCCTGTACTTTATTTCAGTGCCAGCTTCAAACCATAGCTACTGAAACTGACATGTTTAACTGTGGTTAAGACTAACCCCAATTCCAGATCCAGAGGATGTGGCAATGGTGGGTAATCAAAAGCAAAACCTTCTGTTCCTGAACTCCAGCCTGCACTGGGATTGGACAGTGGGGATGTGCTATCAAATTTAAGGCTTGCTGCAGCTCATTCTTGTTCATTCATGTGGCAAAGCTTGTGTGAACATCGGCACTATCAAATTATAGTTAGAGCCTAAAAATAATAACTGATCAAAGGGCTAAATCATGAATTCAACCTAATGTTCCAGAGTTTTTTGTAGCAGCTCTTCATTCCATCCAGCAAGCTGTTCTGAAACTTGGGGACTTCAGAAGCAGCCTGCAATATATTCTTTGAATGGGGAGTAGCATAAAGCATGTAATTTGTTTAAGGACATGGTGCAAATCTTATTTTGTTTGCATCTAGAAGCAATCCTTCATGCCTGAAGTACTCATTTACAAAAAAACAAATGTAATTTACTGACTGTACACTTGTCATGGACAATATTGTATGCTGGAGATACCTGTATCCTGACTCAGCTGTTTCTGAGTCAGGGTATGGCTAACTCAACTAACAAGGTGGTTGGGCTTCTTCCCTTCTAGGTCCCCAAAGATATGCCCCAATGTCTTTACTCAGTGTTCACAACTAGATCTCCCCTCTTCGAATAATAGACTGATATCCCCTTCCTCTGTGATTAGTCCTTCCGTGAGGAATCTGACACTAAGAAAAACGTAAGTAAATGTTGAACTGTCAGCCAATTTTTTATTTTATACCAAATGATTGAATTTGGGGGCAGGGATTGACCCTGAGGTTGCAGCCCAGTGGAATTTTTACCTCCCACTGGGGACTGCTATGGGCAGGAGAACAAGTATGAAACAACTTTGAGATCCAGTGTCATGTCAGCATACACGATGGGGCTTTCCCTTCTACTCTTGCCCACACACCTTCTGACTTGGCCTCCAAATCAGCTCCAAATGTTTCTTTGACTTCCAGAGCAGATTCTTTGGCTGGAGGCAGGAAGAAAGGACAGGAAAATAACATTTGCACAAATAGTAGTTCATTGCAGTATCAAGATATCACAATTAGATACTGCCCATTAGGCTCGTGGAAATAGTTTAATGATTCTTTTGATCCAGACCATTGTTTTAAGGTTAGATAGAGACTGGGGGTTATATGCAACTGCTCCTTCCTCTCCTGCATCTGAAGCCCCCATAAACCTTCAAAAATATGCTCCAGGTTGGGACACCTTTTGGAGCATATTTTTGAGATGCACAGGGGGCTGCAGAGGAGGAGGAGAAGTCCCATCACACTAGTAGAAGTCTGCTTGTATAGTATTAGATACAATCCACTACACTGATTTTACTGAGATACATAACTGAGTGGGGAACATAGTATTTAAAGAGATGGTGCACAGTTGTTTATCAGCATTTTGTCTGACCCTGTTCTCAACAAGAAACTTTGTGCTTCCTTATTTAAATGTTATTGAATTGTTTTGAGTAGTAAGTATGCTGATTCTAAAGAGAGCGAGAGAGATATCATGCTGTTAGCAGTTTCAGTGAGCTACTTATTAGGATGCCATTAGTAATTTATTCTGGAAAAAAATAGAGCAACTTGAGGTTACATGGTTATATATACCCAGAACTATTGCTGTACATACCTAAGTAGATGCTGTGCTAATAAAACAGACCTTTTATTTTGTGCAGGCAACTTGTAGTGCAGCAAAGAAAAGTTTCCAATATTCTGAGAGAATTAAGATCACAAATTAATACCAAACGAACAAGACTGAATATCAATAGACGAAACATCTGGGATAGCGCCTTAAAGGGATTTCAAAAGCGGAGCTTCAATCCTGCCAATACTATTGAAGTAAAGTACATAAACTGCAGGACAAAAACACATATGGATTCATCAAAGGGAGATTTTTTTCTATTACTGATTCTTCACCTTCAGAACTCCTCGCTCTTTGAAGGCGATTCCTCAAAAATATTGTCTTTTGATTCTCAAGGTAAGCCTAAATTATAAACATTTGAAATGTTTTTGGAGGGAAGTGGGTACAGTCGTACCTTGGAAGTTGAACGGAATCTGTTCCGGAAGTTTGTTCAACTTCCAAAACGTCCAGGAAGCTCCTGCAGCCAATCGGAAGCCGCAGTAGCTCTGTTGGACATTTGGCTTCCAAAAGAACATTCAAAAACCAGAACACTCACTTCCAGGTTTCGACCATTTAGGAGCTGATTTGTTCGGGAGCCAAGGCTTTTGAAATCCAAGGTACAACTGTATGCTTCTTTCTCCCTTCTCCATTGGGTTCTGAGCACTCTTGATGTGGTTGGTGTGCAGCAAACCTGTGAGGTGAATTAGGTGATCTTAAGCAAGTGTCTTCCTACCAAACAAGCTGCATGGGTTGAGCAGAAATTTGAACCTAGATCTTACCACAATCTAAATTCAAAAACTCGTATCAACTACACCACACTGGCTGTGTACTGCAAGTTCAGTAATACGAATTCTCCAATTAATATTAATAGGAATATTCACTTAGTTATATAGGAGTCTCCTTACTCTCTTTGCTGTTTAGGCTGCTCAGAAATAGCAAAACTGGTAGTGGATGGAGCAACTACAATTAGAGGGGTGCTGGTAATTGTATTTTTGAGTTTTTATTGACTCTGTCCAGGTAACAAAAACCAATACAAGTAGAGGAGATACCTTCTGCTCTAGTGTTTTACTATGTATCAAGGGACAGGAGAACTATTAAATAGTTTTAAGTCATGGTTTTTGGGGTAATGAAAATTGTCTTTGTTAAGCTCTGGTGAGCATATTTGCTGGCATACCAAAAAAAAAACCTGAGCATTTGCCCCATGTAGAGTTGAAGTAGAGTTGATGGCTCAGTTTCCTTTCTGACTAAAACTCCAGGGCAACTTTTTGTGACCACAGGGGTTGGGTATGCAGTGGGGAAGGGAAACAGACAAGTCCTGGTAGTTTAGCATAAATGTCCAGCCCATTTCTTTTGTATCCCATAAGTACAGTTGGCTTACATAGATTTAGATAAATTCATGGAAGATGGGCACTTGTTCAGATGAATGGTGCCTCTGAACACTAAGTGCTGGCAACAAATGGGGGAAGAGAGCTGTGGCCTCTGTGCACTTTTTCTGGGCTTCCAGGGGCATTTTATTGGATGGGAAACAGAATATTGAAGTACAGTGGTGCCTCGCAAGACGAAAAGAATCCGTTCTGCGAGTCTCTTCGTCTTGCGGTTTTTTCGTCTTGCGAAGCAAGCCCATTAGCGGATTAGCGCTATTAGCGGCTTAGCAGGCTTAGCGGATCATCTGATAAGCAGCTTAGTGGCTTAACGGATCAGCTCTTAAGCGGCTTAGCGGATCAGCTGATAAGCGGCTTAGCGATCAGCTGTTAGCGGCTTAGCGGCTTGGGAAAAAGGGGGGGGGGAGAGGAAAAAAACCCCGCAGGAACTCGCAAGACATTTTCGTCTTGCGAAGCAAGCCCATAGGAAATTTGTTTTGCGAAGCACCTCCAAAACGGAAAACCCTTTCGTCTAGCGGGTTTTCCGTCTTGCGAGGCATTCGTCTTGCGGGGCACCACTGTAGGTGTGCAGTTAGTTAGACTGATTGGGGCTCATCCCAGCTGCATTTAGTAAGCACAAGAGTTATTTTACATACTTTGTACTTTCAGCTCTTAAAGATAATTTATACTATGAAGCTGGAAAAATGATAGCAGTTTGTCTGGTTCATGGAGGGCCATCTCCTAGCTTCTTTTCCAAGACCTTGTTTGACTGCCTTGTTTATGGCACAGAGAATGTGAAACCAACTATTGAAGATGTTGCTGATGTGACTGTTCTGCAGACAATAGAGAAGGTAGGTTGTTCTACAACTGCATAGCACTATAGGGATGGGTCTTGGTATTTTTTTCTCTTTTAACATCTTAATTTTAAATCAATTTGGTATTGAGGGCATTTCTTTTCTCAGCAATAGTTGGCATAATATATGTGCCACTTATTTGTCAGCCAAAAGTGATCAGACATAAGATCTGAAACAAAGAGGAAGTTGCATCCATCCATTTGAATTTATTCATCAAATTAACTAGTTGATGTTTGATTTCTTACTGTAGATAAAATCTGCAAGAACTCTGAACAGCTTAGAATCAGCAATAAGTGATTGCTCTGAATATCTCGCCATTGCTGGATGTTTGAAACCTGTAACAGCTCTACATGATAAGAATGTGTTGGTGAATGAGATATTGAATTACCATGTCATAAAGAGAACACTTTTACCTTTTGAAAGGTTTGTTTTGCACATAGAACCCATTACTATACTTTTGCAGTTTATACTCCAGGGTTCTGTAGCCACACTCTTTCCATGTGAATTAACTCATGTTTTGCATTTATAAATTAAAATTTTACAAGTCAAGTTTCACGTGTTATGAAGAATTTATTGTTCTAGTGGTGGCTTCCCCTCTCATTTACTAGTACTGAAAATATAAAATTTTATTATGACACCAAGTGAAAGATGTATTGCTGGTAATTGCAAGTAGGCGGAGTGCTGTTGCACTCATGTCCAGTTTGCAGGCTTCTCTCACACATTTGGTCGGCCACTGTGAGAATATGATCCTAGGTGAGCCACGGGCCTGTTCTTAATATTGTTCATCTTACGTTGTTACTCAAAAATGCTTAAAGATATTTGGTATTTCAAATTTGAAAAACTGAGTTGTTGGATGAATACTTAAATATACTTAATAGTGTCCCAAGGGAGGAAGCTCTGCAGCTTTCTTTCACTGGGGCGAGATCCATCATTTTACCTGTGGATGTGACAGGATTTCCCTTTTTGGCTGCCTCTATAGCCTCCCTGCTCCCTAATCTGTCCTTCAGGATCCCCCAACTTTCCAGAACGCTTTCAGGGAGTGTACTGGGGCTGCCTGGGAGAAGGGAAAAGAGGGAAATTCCTGTAAGCTGGATGCCACACTTGGACACCATCCATTGTTGTAAGTAGCTTTCAGGAAAATTTAGAAGCTCTAAAATAAATTACTGATTAGAATCTGTAGCTGGTACCAGCTCCAGCAAGGGTATTCTGACTAGTACATGTACAGAAATATATCAGTAAATTGGTTTGGTTTTGTTTTGTTTTTAATAATTCCAGCAAAGCCCTAAGGAATTACTGCTTCTAGAAATTTAAAGTGGTGTTTGTAATATGCAAATGAATTTGGCAGTTTTTTTCCTATCTTTTTAAAAACAAAAAAACCTCATAGCACTTTCTTGGTTCAATGCATTGTCTCTTTCCCCCTTAGCTTTAGACAAGGTTTGAAAACACTTGGTGTTTTGGAAAAAATGCAGATGAATCCTGATGCATTCTGTAGCATATTATGTCACAAGCCTGAGAAACTTACAGCAAAACTTCTTGGTGATCTCTTTGCTATCCACTGTGTACCAGGAGCAGACAAAGCCAGAAGTCTAGATTTCTGGATGGGTTACTTACAGGAAACAGAAGGTAAGAAAAAATGGACCCACCTAAATGAATCTGAGCTAGGAATCTGGAATGTGTTGGGGGCTTTAAAAAAGACTTCAGTTCCTATTTATCAAACTCTTAAGACAAGCCTTGCCTATGAATTTTAGTTTCACTTTACATTTGCAGTAATGATTAACTATGGTCAATTTATCATTAGCTTGAGTCACTCTTACCTTCTAATGTGAAAATCTTGTAAAAGCTGTTTTCAGCTAATCAAATTCCTCGTTCTTGGTCTAGGTGGTGAGTCAGCAGTAACTCTAGAGGACATCTTAGTGTTTGCAACTGGCATTCGTGATATCCCACCCATTGGCTTTGATCCTGAGCCTGCAGTTAAGTTTCTGCATATAAAATACCCTGTTGGAAAGAGACACCTTAATTGTTTAGAGCTTCCAATAACAAAGTCTTACGAGAAGTTTAAAAGAATTATGGATTGCACCATCAGAAGTACTCTAAGGTTAGAATCAGAAGTGCATTAGTCACTACCATGGATGCTGAAAATTGAATGATGAAGCATTTAAGAAGCTTGCTAGCTGCTACTGGATAACACACATGTTCATCCTCACAGACTTGCAACTTGATCGTGGAAATGGCTTAATCTCAGTCTTTACATTTTGAACATTGATTCAAAATGATGAACAAACAAAGCTTTCCAAACCATTTTGCATTATTTGGTTTCTTTTTAACACTGTGCCCCAATCTCATCCTTAGCACAGCCCCACTTCATAACATAAGGCAACTGGTGACATAATTGTCTGCTGATGTACTGTACCATCCATCCATTTATATTATAATCAAATATACACTAGTAGACAACTAGATTCACAAATCCCTTTTACATTGGTTTGTAATATAGCCAGAAAATCATGTTTTTGTGTAAGTTTTGGTTTGTTGAGATGAGAAAATATTTTACATTCTAAGTGAATTTCAAGTATCCTAGCTATTACTTATGAACTATAATAAGGAAGCTAAACATAATACCTCATTTTAACTTTTGTCATATATATATATTAAAAGAATAACAGAGCTTTATGACACTGAATACAGCTGTGGTGCAGTATCCCAGCTGCTTTAAAATTAAATTTCCGTTCTACAGTCATTCCAAATATTTTCCTTAGTATTAGAAAAATGTGCTGGTGTGTAAAGGTGTTGCAATTCATAGAAGTGTAAGCATATTCTTATGTGCTAGTTATAAGTGACTTAACATGGACACTTAGATGTCAATCATTTGAGAGAAAAGGTGAGGTTGACTTCAAGAGAAGGGCCATGTCAAAAGGACATGCAGAAGAAGAATAAGAAGAAGAGTTTGGATTTGATATCCCGCTTTCTCACTACCCTAAGGCATCTCAAAGCGGCTAACGTTCTCCTTTCCCTTCCTCCCCCACAACAAACACTCCGTGAGGTGAGTGAGGCTGAGAGACTTCAGAGAAGTGTGACTAGCCCAAGGTCACCCAGCAGCTGCATGTGGAGGAGCGGGGAAGCGAACCCGGTTCACCAGATTACGAGTCCACCGCTCTTAACCTCTACACCATGCAGGAGTATCTCCAAACTCATATCAAAGTTCAAATGAAAGCAAGCAGAAATTCACACACATTGAAGGCCCTATATGTGCCTGTTATGAGAATGGCAACAAACTATATGTAGAAATACATCTTGAATTGCAGTGTTGCAGGAATTATTATTCTCTGTGTAGCATAGATCCTTACATTTAAACATTCCATACTACACTGAGTCCTGTAGAACCTTAGTATAGAACCTTGGAATAGACTCATAGAGTTGGAAGGGATCCAGAGGATCATCTAGTCCAACCCCCTGCAATGCAGGAATATGCAACTGTATCTTATGGGGATTGAACCTGTAACCTTAGTGTTATCAGCACCACGCTCTAACCAACTGAGCTATCCGCCTTATTGTAAATATTTCACTTACTCAAAAAGATAATTTTTCAGTGTTTTCTGTTGGATTGTATATGGCTTTTTATGTCCTGCTCCCTGCCCTGGGTTTTGCAGGCCTATATATTTGCAGTTGCACTGTGCTTTGAAAATCCTCCAGGTACATCATAAGCATCATATAAACATGCTTCAATCTTTTCCTTGAGCTTAAGAACAGGGAGGAAAATTGCTTAAAAGACCTCTCAGACATGCTGAGCATTAAAAGACCTCCCATGTCATGCTAAGCATTGGAAATGAGCTCCCTCCCGTACTGGGGAATGCAGAGATTTTGCTGGCTACCCAAACTAGCAAAAATTTGTGGGCTAAAGGAAGAAAGGATTTTGGGCTGCTATGGGTTGTATTCAATTAAGCTTTTCCATTTGCACAATGGAATTTCCTCTCTCTTCTTCCCTGCATTCCCCTCCCCCCTCAAAATCTGTTCCAGAAGGTTGGGGGACCCTCTGGAGATGTTTGGGGGCTCTATTCATACAGCATGGAATAGAACCCTCTAAGTTTATAAACATGTTGGTCTACTGCAGGCATGTCCAAAGTCCGTTTCGGGGCCCTTAAAAAGACCTCCACAACTTCAATCCTAAAAAAAGCTCCACAACTTCAATCTTAAAAAACAAGGTCAACAACTTTGGTCAGCCCTCATAGCCCTTCACTTCATCAAATCTGGCCCTCTTTGAAAAAAGTATGGACACCACTGGTCTACTATATAATCTGTGTTCCCTACAGAAGTCTTGATCATTGTATTTTATATTGCAGTATCTGTGGATTTAATTTACTTCCCATGATTGGTGCATCCTGGCAATCTATTCTTTGCACTTTGTGATTTTATGACCTTGTTAGCTTAGCCGTTTGTTGGGTTAAAGTACTAGGAGTAAAGAAAATGCTGTTGTGCTATTTCTGCCTTAAAACCTCTGTGCACAGGATGTGAACCTCTTAAGTTCACCTAATTGTGATTATTTGAATATGTACTACTTTATTAGAGTTGTAATGCTACATCTATACTAGCATAAGTAGGATAAACTGCAAATGAATGGAATCCGCAAATAGATGTCAATTCAGGGCAACAGTATTCCTTATGGCAGCTCAGGTACCTTTAACACTTCACTGAATGCTTTTATCATAGCATTCTTAAATTCATTGATTTTTTTGTTCTGTAATTTGGATTAAAGGAAGGCACCATTTCTGTATGATTGAACTCTTTCATGGGTGGGGGGGGATTAAACAATTAGCATTATGTAGAAATAGTGTAGAATACAAATTTGCATGTACAATTATAAGTTTGTAAATATTAGTTTTTGTTTAAAACTGTAATATCTATTTCCTGGGGCTTTCTATGGCTTCCAGTGTCTGTTTGCTCTTTTATTACTTGCAGCAATGTATTATGGGAGAACCGTCATTTACATGTACTGTATATAAAGTGCAATAAATCAACGATGTGTCAGTTAACAGTATTAAATATATATGCATTCAAATGTAGTTGGACTTGATTCTTTTGAGGATGTTCATATGCAACAATGGTGTTGCTTCATCTGGGATTCATGATAATCCTCATGTTGCCATACAATGTTAATAGTGCAAACAGGAATATCTTATATCATAGTCCAGTGTTACTTACCTAGCTTCATTTTACAAATAAAATTGGTGTATTATAGCTCTGAAGATTCACAAATGACACTGATTTATTTCTTCCTAAAGTGTGATAGGGGATTCCCATTCTTATATATTTTATATGATTCCTGTTCAGGTACTTATGAAAAAGATTATAAACTAAACTTAGTGTTTCCACTGAGGGGTTGAAGGATGAGACAGAAAAATTCCCAAATTTAGACTACCCCCTTCCACCAAAAACATGCCTCTGAAAATGCTTCTATACACTTCACAAAGGCTACACTATTGATGTAGTGGATAAACCTGGGAGACCAGGGTTGAAATCCCTACCCTGCAAATGGGGAGGAGCAAAACTCTTTGTCCCTTTGAGCTCCTTGGAAGGTAGGACATAATTGCAATGTTTGGCCTGCTGGTCCTTGAGAATGGGCAGCAGCATGAAGAAGCAAATGTGCTGAATCCTAACACCCTGAAATCCCAGTGACACAAACATGCTGGAAATTATGCCACATAATGAGCCGGAACATGCCATCCCCATGCCATTTGCTCCAATGGGAAGAAGACTATTCCTTCTGGCACACTTTTCCTCCTCCCCTGCCATGAAGATGGTTTGGAAGCTGTAGGGCTCTGGACCTACACATTTCTGGTGGTAGAAGAAGAAGAGTTTGGATTTGATATCCCGCCTTTCACTCCCTTTAAGGAGTCTCAAAGCGGCTAACATTCTCTTTTCCCTTCCTCCCCCACAACAAACACTCTGTGAGGTGAGTGAGGCTGAGAAACTTCAAAGAAGTGTGACTGGCCCAAGGTCGCCCAGCAGCTGCATGTGGAGGAGCGGAGACTCAAACCCGGTTCCCCAGATTACGAGACTACCGCTCTTAACCACTACACCACACTGGCTCTTACTGGTAATATTGCTCAGTAAGAATAATTATCCCATAAAGCAACCTTTAAATTATTTTTTTTTTTTAAATACTGTTATTTGACTTGTCAGTCATTTGTTACCCAAAGGTCTTCAAGTGACTAAAAGGTAAAGGGACCCCTGACCATTAGGTCCAGTCGTGACCGACTCGGGGGTTGCGGTGCTCATCTCGCTTTATTGGCCGGGGGAGCCGGCGTACAGCTTCCAGGTCATGTGGCCAGCATGACTAAGCCGCTTCTGGCGAGACCCGAGCAGCGCACGGAACCGCCATTTACCTTCCCGCCAGAGCGGTACCTATTTATCTACTTGAACTTTGACGTGCTTTTGAACTGCTAGGTTGGCAGGAGCAGGGACAGAGCAACTGGAGCTCACCCTGTCGCGGGGATTCGAACCGCCAACCTTCTGATCAGCAAGTCCGAGGCTCTGTGGTTTAACCCACAGTGCCACCCACATCCAGTCAAGTGACTTATCACACATTAAAAACAAATAGTAATACTTTATGCCACAAAAATGTAACAATCCCTATAACAGCTACAGGAAATCGCCGGCCCAGCAGTAGCAAAACATCCATTTGTAATCCATCAAAAGCTGGGTGGAGGAGATAAGTCTGGTGCTGAAACAAAGATGCCAGGTCGACTTCACTGCAAAAGGCATTAAACCAATGAAACCACAACTGAAAATGTCCTCTTCCTTGTTACCACCCTCCAAGCATCCCCAAAGAGAGGGATGGGCTCTGGAGAAGGATGCAGGTATGTTTGGGATAGACATGCCAGAATATACTGGGGTTCTGAGCCATAGAGTTTTATAGGTCAAAAGCAGCACATTGAATTGGATCTAGAACCACACTGGCTGCCTGTATGCTTCCAACACAATTGGTATTCTAGGATACCATGGTGGATGGTACTGAAAGCTGCTGAGAGATCATGAAGAATCAACAGAGTCACATTCCTCCATCTGTCTCCCAACAGTGGCCAATTAATGGGGCGGGGGACACACCAAAGCAGTTCTTTTTGTGGGTTTGTGTATGAATTGCTGTGGTAGACTAAATTATTATTATTATTACTTTATTTTGTACCCTGACCATCTGACTGGGCTGCCCCAGCAACTCTGGGTGGCTTCCATCATATATAAAAAACAGTAAAACATTCAACATTAAAAAGCTTCCCTAAATAACAACAGTGCTTGTGTACAGGACCAAATGTCAACTTCTAGCACTTTGTAAACCTCTCTGACTAGCTAACCTGCAGAACTGTGACTTTAGGCCAAACTTGGACTATCCAGTTAGGAATACAAGCCCTGAATAAGATAAAGAGTATATGGCAAAATAATATAAATACAATGCCATATCCAATTAAGCCATACTCAAACCCACTGAAATCATGTTTCCATTTATTTCAGTGGGTCTACTCTGCATATGGCTTAAGGTCAGCCAGATTCTTACTCCCACAATGGCTTTCTTCTCTTTCCGCTAATATTTGCTACTTCTGAAGACAGAGGTTCTGTGTGACTATTGGGTTTAGCAACAACAAAAGCCATCACAAAAGAATAATAAAACCAGTGGTAGCCCTGGAGGTAAATCATAATTTAGGAAGCAAGGCTACCCACGTCTACTGAGAAGTAAATCCAGCAGAATCTAAGGAGGTTTTACTAGCAGGTAAGTGGGGCTAGGATTGCAGCCTTGAGAATATTATGATGATCTTATGCGAGTCTTTTACTAGAGAGACAGAAAAGGGGTTTTTTTTGGGGGGGGGGTACATGGTGGTCAGATCTAGGATGTTGCCCAGCCCTTCCCCATGAAACCCTGTCTATTTTCTAACAGCTGTTTCAAGCGTAAGAAGCTACCGGCCCCGAGGCAGCAACTTTTGTGCGTGGCGTTTTCTCCCTCTTCCCTATATTTTGGCTCCTCACTGCCAATTCACCTCAGAACCGCCCCATCCGGCACCGCCAACCCCGTCCCGCGCGAGGGCCGCGAGCGCCTCAGTGGGAGAAGAGCCGGCGGTGGGAAGAAGCAGAAGGGGGAAACCGCCGCCCTCTCCTCTTCCAACCATCCCCGAAGCTAACCGAGAAGCCCCAGTTGCGGCGCCGGCGGCTGGGATATACGAGGAGCCAGAGGGGACGCCGGGCAAGGAGGCTCCGCCCGCCGTGCCTCAGGTCGCTCGCAGCAGCAGCAGGGGCCGCCTCGCCGGGGCGCCACGTCTGCCGGCTGCTGTAGCGGCGACGGGGGCGGAGCCGGCCTGAGTGGCAGAAAAGATGGCGGCCAGCATCCGGGAGAAGCAGACGGGTGAGTTCCCCGCTTTCCTCTCGGGGACAGGCTCGAAGGGGCGCCGGCCCTCTGTTGCCGGGGAGCCCGCGGGGTGCGGCGGGGCCGCCGCCGCTGCCCTCGTCGGCGGGAGGGTTTCGCGGCGTCTTTGTTACCTCACGGAGGATACGCGCGGCCTGCTCCGTTCTGCATCCTCTGCGGGGCCTCTTCCTTTAAAACCCGCGCGAAGAAGGCTCTCTTTGGCTGGCCGACCCGCTTCTGGAGGAGCGGAGCCCTGCCCTACTTTTGGGGGGGGGGGTTGCCCCGTGGCGGCCAAGGCGCCGAGAGGGTTCCCTGTATTGACCCCGCATCCTGCTCTTAGTTTCCTGGCGCGGCTGTGTTTCTTCTTTCGCTGCCTCCAACCCTCGGGTTTTATAAGAACAGCAACAACACTTTGGGATTATAGGGCAGTAGGTACTTCATAGACCACTACGGAGTTTTAAGTTGGTACAAAAAGGGGGGGGGAATCCACCCCACCCCATCATGTCCACAAAGAGACTGCCGTCACAGTTTCATAGACATTACAGTTATTCCAAAGGAGCCCTTAAACTTAAAGTGGAGTCATGCTATTAGTTGTTAAAAGCAGCCTTTGCATCATCCGCCTACCCGCGTTAAGCAATTTGCAAGGCATTGTTAGAAGATACAAGAACAAATGATCCCCAAGAAATGCCCCTTTAGTACCTTACACTCATCATCCTCAAAGGAAAATATAAGGTTTATCAGAGTCAGCATTGTTTTCATCTTTTCAAGCTGTGCTCCGAGGAGTTCTGAACATGTCATCTATGCGATCGTGATGGTTTTAGGCTGGGTGTTTTTCTGTGATTTTAATGGCTGGTGTTACTACTCCAAACTGAAGCACAGCCCTTCAAATCAGAGTTTCTCCACCTGGTGTCCTCCAGTTGTTTTTGGACTAGTTCCCATTAGCCGCAATCAGCACTGGTTGGACTTGTGGTCCAGAACATCTGGGGGTTACCAGGTTGGGGAAGGTTGTTTCAAACAAACAGATTTGCCTATGTTATCCAGTCAGAAGCAGGTCAGTGTAGTATGTCCCAATGGCTTGTAATTGCCAAAGCATTCCATACTGAACATATATTTATTAGTAAGAAATGTTTCAAGAAACCATTCTGGAACACATACTGCAAAGGTGTATGAAATCTTCACAGATTCACCCATGTCGGGGTTTGGGTTTAGGACTAGACTTCTTCATCAGACTTCAACACACACACACACACACACATTTTTTATTACAGTTTCATTCTTCTTATGTCGGAGATATTGAGAAGTCACTGCCAGTTTGGACTTGACAGCATATATGTAAATTCAGTGCCCTTGTGTGCAACACTTTACACTTTCTGCTGAATCTCCTTTGCCATTTTGTTCCCATTCATGTGTTTGTTCATGGATTATTTTAAAAGTTTTAGTCTCAGGGCAGAGCCTTGGGAATATCTAATATGACTTTCACATCAATTTTCACCATACTTATGTCTCTGAGTATAAGAAGGCTTTGGTACATAGGAAGTACAATGGAAACACACTGTTATTTTACAATACCAGGTTTCTGCTCTTAGGTTCTTGTCTCTTCAGTTGCTACAATATCCACACATCTTGACAAATGTTGTTATTAATTTAAATAAGACAGTAGCCATGGCCTCTTTATTTATTTTATTTTAACAATTTATATACTGCTTGACTACAATAATCTCAAATAAATAAACTAACATTGTTTATTTCTAAATAACATATAGTCAGATTGCAATATTTTGAAAAGGTTCTCAATAGATTTTATGTGGTTAGTCATACGTTTTCAAAACTATTCAAAATCCTCTTTTCTCTCATTTTCAGTGGCTCTAAAACGTATGTTGAATTTCAATGTGCCACCTGTTAAAAACAGTACAGGTGAACCAGTATGGAAAGTAAGTCAAACTATATGCCAATTTTACACCCATGGTAATCATTTCTAGTTTCAAATTAACTTACTTGCCTTGTTCTTGAAAATGACATTTTATAGCTTTACAAAATAGGTTGTTGACTTGGACCAATTGCTGATAATGAAAATGAAAGTGTTTTAATTATATTGTTGTTTAGTCGTGTCCGACTCTTCGTGACCCCATAGAACTGCATAAAGAAGAGCTCTGTGAAAGTAAACATAACTGAGTAGATAGAAGTAATTCCTTTGGTAGTATATTTGACACTGGTGATGGATTTTATTGAGGAAACTGTACTAATGGTTTAAGAAACATTGTTTCTGACTGTGTTTTTAATGTTGCATGATAGAACCATTTCAGTCTTTATTGTGCATGTTACTTTTTCCAGTTGGTTTTTAAGTCCAGATGTCATCATAAAACACTTTTTTAATTCTGACAGGAACTAGCTAGGTGAGCATCAGATGCACACTGCCCCATTCCCTCCTTCTCTGGCATGGCTGCAATGAGGAGCTCTGAAGCTTTTCCTTTCTTTCATTTGTTTGAGGCTTGCTGTGTTGTGTGACCCTGAGAAACTCCAGTTAATCTTAGCTCTGATTAGCTTGAAACAAGCCATATATTATGAAGCTGCCTGGTTTTGACAAACAACATTAAATACAGTGGTACCTCCGGTTACAAACGCTTCAGGTTACAAACTCCACTAACATGGAAGAGTTACCTCGAGTTGAGAACTTTGCCCCAGCATGAGAATGGAAATCGGGTGCCGGCAGCGCAGCAGCACCAAGAGGCCCCATTAGTGAAAGCACTCCTCTAGTTAAGAACAGTTTCAGGTTAAGAACGGCTCTCCGGAACAAATTAAGTTTGTAACTAGAGGTACCACTGTACAGTTGAAGCTTGAGACATAACATTGAGATTGATTGATTTAGAAACTAAACTGTGTTTAATAAAAAACATGGGAAAAAACCTTAATTCAACTGCACTGGAGGGAGCAGGAAAAGCATTTTAGCCAATGGTTCATCTAGAATTATTCCCTTCATAATAAATCATGGTTAGTTATTATGTCCAAATATTCTCTCTTGGTTTTGTATGACAGGCTGCCCTTATTTTTTAAAAAAAATTGCAGTGTCAAACAAAAATTTGTAATGCTTTCCTGTTGTTTTCTTATTTTTTAAATAATAATTTGTTTTAAAGGAAATTACAGTGGTACCTCTGGTTACATACCTAATTCGTTCCGGAGGTCCGTTCTTAACCTGAAACTGTTCTTAACCTGAAGCACCACTTTAGCTAATGGGGCCTCCCGCTGCCACTGCGCCGCCAGAGCACGATTTCTGTTCTCATCCTGAACCAAAGATCTTAACCCGAGGTACTATTTCTGGGTTAGCGGAACCTGAAGCGTATGTAACCTGAAGCGTATTTAACCCGAGGTACCACTGTATTTATTTCAAAGCATATGAGAATGTGACTGACTCCTTCAAATCTGAAATGTTGCTTAAGACCCCTTTATCTGTTAAATAATTACAAGCTCATGGACATAAAGCTGCTGCACAACCTCTGCTCAGGCCCCACTGAAGTGAATGGTGATCCATGCACTGACATTGCTTTCTAGTTTGCTTAGTGTGTATGCAACTAATAAAACCTGACCATAGCATTCTTCTTCCTCTCTGATTGGTTGACCTCAAAAGAGTCCTATCCTCTCCCCTAAATATGTCAAGTTCCTTACTGGAATTATGCTAATAGGTATTTTTGTGTTGCAGGTTCTCATTTATGACAGATTTGGCCAAGATATAATATCTCCATTATTGTCAGTGAAAGAATTAAGAGACATGGGCATTACTTTACATCTGTATGTATCTATATGTATACGTTTTGCGGTTGTGTTACTTTATACGTTGTTTGAAAAAACATGTGGTTTTTTTATGGTGAGGAGGATAAGGTTGCATGTTAAACCACCAGTTGGGTAACTGGTCAATAATGGGAAGCTGAAGGATGCTAGTTATGCTTACAGTGATGTATTCTCTCTTGTAAAAAACAGACTGAAGCTCTGGCATGTCTAAGTATGCCAGTCTTTACCTAAAACAGTACATAAATCCATTACATTGATTACAAAATTAAGAGAAGGCTGAAAGCAGTTTTAATTTTGCAAGTTACTGGGCATACAGTAAGAGCATATCTGAAAAACATATTTTCATTATACTTAAGTCTATGCAATCTACCTTTTCAAGTCATAGTTCTGAAACACCTGAGACAGCTCCTTTTCCTTTTTTCAGACTAATCATACAAGCTATGAATGGGTACACTGAGATGCCGTGGTTAACCTTGATTGCAATTCATGATGTGTGGTCAACAAACTGCTTAACTACAGTTAAGGGAATAGGAGAGAAAGGAATACACCTTCCTTGGGCAGGCTTTCAGTTAAACTGCAATTAAAGAAAAACTAGCATTACTTCTGCATCAGCAAATTATGTAGAAAGTGCCGTGTGCCCAATCCAATAGATGATTACTTGGAAGAAGGCTGATTGCACGGTCAAGCTCTGCCCAAGCAAGTGTGCATAGGATTGAAGCTGCTGAAGCCTTTTTTGTTTCTAGGGCTTTTTGTTGTTGTTCCATTTGTTTCAAGAAAGAGTAAAACAGTTCACAAATGAAGCTTGTTCTTTTATTTCCAGTCTTCTGCACTCCGATCGAGATTCTATTCCAGACGTTCCAGCAATATATTTTGTAATGCCAACAGAGGAAAATATTGACAGGCTGTGCCAGGTAGTGTGACGTGCTTAATGTCCATTGTAAGAGTTTAAAAATTCATGTTGTAACACAAGAAACTGGACTTTGTTTTACTGCCAGATAAAAGGTAGTGTTTATGCTTCAGCTGCATAGATGTTAGGGCTGTGACTTCATTGTTTGCAGCATGTACTCCACATCAGCAAATCCAGTGATGAGCCAACTGCTTAGAAAATACTCTTACTACTTACAGTGGTTATGCTATGGATCAAAGAGGTTCTTAAGTGTCGTTGGCAGTTAGGAGAGACAGCTTGCTACTGCTGTAGCCCCTGCAAACGTGTTGTCTTGTATGATTATTCCCTACTTTCCTTGCAGTTTTAAAGTCCATCTACTACCTGTGCTAGTGTGTACAAATATATCAGGTGTCAAGTGTTCGAAGCTCCCATTGTTCTAGGCTCATTTTGCGACAGGGAATTTCATTAGTGAGAGCAGTTTCTGAGCTCTGGGTGCAGTACTGTGCCCAAGATTTCAAACTGCAGAGTGGAAGGAAAGGAAGACCTTTTTCTGCCTCCCCACTTCCAGCTACTCTCTGAAGACTGTAGAAGAGACCCTCTTAAGAATATTAGGGGGGTGGGCAGGGGAAGGACCAGATCATGTGAAAAATGAGCATAATATTTTAGCTGCAGTTCATTCATTTTCAGCTTTGTATTCTTGTTATAAAAAAGTCTGCCTAGACATTCCATTATTGCACCGATAACCTAGGTTTAAGGTGCATTTAGCTCCTAGCTTTCATATCTCAGTTTGTAACACTGGCTGGCTTGCTTAACTTTTTCTTAAAATCCAGAAATTGATATAGCAGTGAATATCAGGTATAACTCAAATCTCCTTTTCACATGGGGAAAAAAAACCTTCATTCTCTTTTACCCCAACCTCTGAGCATTATGACAATATGATTTTCACCTTTTGTAAAGGGAGTGAGCCAGAATTGTTGCAACATTCTTAATTTGATTAAGCTTTTCAGGTGATTTGAATGTAACATTTCATAATCTGAGATATCTCTTGGAGTGATTTCTGGAACCATGACCATGAAAATGATTCATTATGCCCCATTCCTGTAGATTTAATGTATATTATACAAGCTGAGGCAACAGATGGTATTAGTGGAATTATATATAATCAGGTTGCATAGATTAATTTTTTCTCCCATCAAAGCCCATACAGGGCAGGCCACAACCTTTGTATTGGTGCAATTTAGGATTGCAGTTTTTAGTGAATGAATGTCCAGCATATCAATTTAACACTGCTGACACCTGCAGGACACATGCAGACACTGCAGAGGCTTTTAAACTCAAATCTCAGACTGAGTTCTTCTCTAGGCAGATCTAATCCAGGACAGATGCAATAACACAATGTGCAGAAAAATGAACTAATCAATATATTCAAAATTTACCCAAATGAGCTCAGCAGAAAAGCTTCTTACTAGGGTCAAAACAGGCTAAATAAAGAAATGGCATATTCTGTTAATTTTTGGTTTGAAGTGTGGATACTTGGATAATATTAAATGGGAAGCTGCTTTACCCATGCTTATCAAAATAACAGAATAACTGCTTTTCTGAATAAGCTTTATTCTATCCCATGTTAGACATCTTAATAACCAGGAGTGATGTCCACTCAGAGATGCACACATTCTCACCAGTCAAAAGCATTGTATTTGTGGAATATGAACTTGACAAATGATTACCCTAGGTCACTGGCAAGTAAGGAGCAAGAATTTTAACTAAACTTGGGGCGATTACAAATGAAACCACTGTGTTCTGCCCAGTTTTTTATTTATTTTATTTGCATGAGACATTCGAGCATGCTTCCCACATGTCAGCATACATACAAATGAATATAGGACTGGGGATGTGCACCTCAAACTAAGCTTTGGGACACTGCACATTAAACACTGACACTTCAGAAGAACATTTTCTGCAAAACTCCCTAGTATTGTATATATTGTCTGTTATTGGCATGGGTTATGCTGCCTAATAGGAGATTAATTTTTAGAAGCACTACTGTATAGTAAAGGCTTTCATTTTCAAAGTATACTTGTTATCTAAAAAATTCTGGTGTTTTTAACATTCATTTTTTTCTTTCAGGATCTTAGAAACCAACTTTATGAATATTATTATTTAAATTTTATTTCTGCCATTTCAAGAAGTAAACTGGAAGATATTGCAAATGCTGCTCTGGGTGCCAGTGCAGTAGCACAAGTAGCTAAGGTAAAGTACAGTATTCCAAACATTCATATTCGAGTACCTGTTACTTTCAAAACTGATTCAACAAGTTTTTTGGAGTGTGGGGTTCTTAAGTTGGGAGTTGGCAAAATTGGGCATTTCAGTTTGTGCAGGTTAGAACTATTTTGCAAAGATAATACTGCTATTGCATATAAGCCCTTGTTGTTCCTTAAATAAAAATAAAGTTTTGATATAGTAGTGATTCAATATAAACTAATCATTTTATGTTATTGTTATGTTATTTTTACTAATGATCCCTTTGTTTTGATGTATAGGTTTTTGACCAATATCTCAACTTCATTACTTTGGAAGATGATATGTTTTTATTATGCAATCAAAACAAGGAGCTTGTTTCGTATCGTGGTAGGTGGATTATTCTAAAAACAGTTATTTTGTTAAACGTCTAGCATTTTAAGAGACCATAATGGTGTAATTCTGTATGTGCACCCAGACATTCTAATGCTGGTGACAGTGTGGAGTTTTGCTACTGACTTCATTTTCCATTATTCGCCTTGATTACTTGCCTACATTTATTATTGAGCTGTAATGGATTAGTGAAGTTTATGAAAGTAAGCACATAAAGTGCTTTCTGCTGTTTAGACCGAGTAACTTATTTTTGTGTCATAGACCCAGGATATATATCTTTACTATCAGGCAAGAAACATAAATGGAGGGTAGAATCCAACATGCAATCAGACTGCTGCTCATGCGACAAGGTTGCTGCTTCCTCTCATCACCCCTGCAGCCCCCTACGTGCCCCCCCAAATTTGCTTCCTCTCCTTCATCCCTTTGGGACAAATTTTGAGGGTGCACGCAAGGCTGCAGGGGGAAGAGATTAAGGTGATAAGCTCTCACACAACAGACAGCATTGGATACACCCTGGAATTTTAAAATTGTTTTGGTCTGCTAGAATTTTCAGCTTTTAATCTAGCGTGAATGACACATAGGCATAATTTATACAGTACAGTAATCTGATTTTTTTCTCCTCTCCATTTTTGGTATTGCAGCCATCAACAGACCAGATATAACAGACACGGAAATGGAGACTGTAATGGATACAATTGTAGACAGCCTTTTCTGTTTTTTTGTTACACTTGGTAAGTATGTTGGTTTCTTAAATATCATACCTCTGTAAGGAATGCTGTGAAATTCCCTCTACCTTAAGTCATATGTCATTCGAAGGAGGTGGTTAGGATAAAGCGAGCCACCTCTTCCTCAAAAATGCCCAGTGCCCTGAATTGTTTTTACAGAATTGAGCTCTATTCATGGTTACCTATTCCTAGAGTTTGCAAACCAGCTTCAAATGCTGTTATAAAGCAGAGTTTCAAAAAAGAATTTGAAGATGGTTCATCATGCTTGAAATTAACATTGGCACACAAATAATTTTGCACCATGAATAGTAGTGAAACATGAAGTAGGGTGAATTCAGCTGGAAGAGAGGAGAAGAAAGCATAGGAATTGTACAGATCAATGGTTAAGTGAATTTGCTCATGCAGAAATTTTCACATTTTCAGGGACCTCCCCTTTGCCCTCAGCTTCCTGCCGCATTCAGCAGTATCCTCCAGACCTCTGGAGAGGCTTTTGGGAGCTGCTATGGAGAAATCATATTCTGCCCACCCACTTCCACTTGGATTTTGTGGCTCCAACCCAATGGGTGTTGTATAGCAAAGTAATTGAGAAAAGGTTCTTCCTGTTCCACTGCTCCTCTCCCTGCACACCTCCCTGAATCTGCTACAGAGACTTGGGAGAACAGATTTGAGAGGGTTTGCGAGAAGTGGAAGTCCATGCATTGGTGGAACAGTTCATTGGATACAACCTCATTTCTGCACTGGCTTGGACTTTGTAAAATAAGGATTTCTTCTGTAAATGTTGTCAAAAAAGAAATAGAGTCCTAGACCGAGGACAGCAACAGTATGATATGATTTCATGTTATTCTCTTTGAACATTTAATAATTTGTAGGAATTAAAGATACTGATAGATATTAGATGCTCTTGATATATGAATTGTTTGAACTCAGAGCTTACAATTTACCCATCTGTATCTGGCTAAAGATTAAAAATTAAGAATTATTCAGGAAAAGCTTCCCTATTTAAGTTTGCATGTCCTGTTATGACAGTGATAATCTGTCACTCAAGATGTGATGTTTCAGAATGTGGTTTCAAACAATTCAATTACTTAAATCTCCTGGAAGATATAAAGTAGATATGTCCTGTATTAGGTCTGCAAAATGATCCCTTTGGAGAACTAAGAAATACATTTAACAGCTTGAGAGGTGTCTAGCTATCTCCTATTGGCTAGCCTTTTAAAAAATGCTCAAAAATTCCCTCTGAATAAGGGAATTTCTCAGCACTTTAGAAAGTTTTCATAAGCTTTGTTTAAATATTATTAACCCATATTTATTTAATAAAATTAACTTGGTAGCAGGCAATATAAAAGCCATTTATCCTAAAAGAAACGTAGTAGACTCTATAACAGCATTTCCCCCAAAAAATCAATTTTTATTTTTTAATAGGAGCTATTCCAATAATCCGATGTTCAAGGGGAACAGCAGCAGAAATGGTGGCAGTGGTGAGTTGTGAAATATCCCAACTGAATTAATTTTTGAAATATGTATGACAGGCATCATGAAGGGAGAATCACTGTTTAACTGAAAGCCGAACAGCAGACAGACAATTGTTTTTACTGAGCTATATCACAGAGGAGACAGAACGGTCAGTGTAACTTTACATTGTCATGGTAACTCCACTTGTGTGTCCCAAGCTAAACAGACACAATCTAAGAATGTTTTTATCCACTGCAATTCTTAGGAAGACATGTGCAGTAGAATTTCTGGGTTTGGACATAGCATTAAGCTATGGTTTAGTGCTACATAAACCAGCCTTAGGCTTGTGCACTCTGTGCACGATTTAAGAAGTATGCAAACTCTGGGCATAATTATTTTCCCTCCCATTGGTTCCAGTGGGAGGGAATAGTTTTAAAAGGCCTTATCAGGAAAATCTGCTCAACCAGCTCCTGCTAATGGTAAGCCAGCAGAGGTTAGGTTGATGTGGTGGTTTCTCCATCATGGAGTATTCCACCACCTTTGAGTACTTCCCATGTCTTGGATTGTATGTTGTTCTTGGCTAGCTGCCTCTTAACTGACCTGGGTATGCGGTGCCCCCTTGCTTCTAGGTGCATGTGTCTTATGTGTCTTTGATTACATCCTGGCATGCGCTCCTGTAGTCTAGGAAGGAAAGCTAGTGGCATATGAAAGTGTTGTCTCTTCAGACAAGGTTGAGGATATGGAAAGAACTCTAAATTATATTGAGTTCTTTGTAAGATAGAGCTTCTTTATTGGTCCAGCATAACCCTATGCATGTGTACTTAGACACAAGTCCTATTCAGTTCAGCGGGACTTACTTTCAGTTAAGTGTGCATAAGATTGTGGGGTTAGTACTGAGCTTATGCTAGCTTGCAACAATAGTGGAATATTTTTAAAACAGTAATACTTGGGAAGGGAGGAGATAGCTGTGATGTAAAGTGGAAAGGCCTGTTTGTCCCCTTTTTAAAAATGGCCCATATGTAATCTGGTGCCTCTCAAGGGCATGAACTGAGAACACAGTGTATTTGTACATGAACTAGGGGTAGTGTACTTAAAAGATCACCTTATTCCTTATACCTGGTCTAATCTTTGCAATATGCCACTCAGGCATGTCTAGTGGTGACTGGCAGTGTCAAACTGTCCTCAACAGGAAATAGTGTGGTGCTTTTTGTATAGAAAAAGCAATCTGGCACAGTCTGTACTGAGTTTCGGTGCCAACTTAAGACTTTGTTGTTTCATGAAGCTTTCTTATGAAAAGATTTGGATCGCCTTAGTGTTTGGATGGGAGATAATATCAGAACCCTGTGTACACTTCCAAGAGTTCCATGAAAGAATAAAGGCAGAATGTAGATGAACTTAAATTGTTTTGGAGGGAGTGTATGAACACTCAGCCTTCAAAGACGGTAACACATGAAAAAGAAAAGATTGCAGAATGGTGTAGCATTGCTATGCAATAAAAGTGACACCAAAGGTGTCTATGCTGTTCACATAGTCATCACAATAACAATGGAAGTGTTAGCTAAGTGGGACATCTAATGTAACCATTATCACAAAATTTTGATGGCTCATAGGAAAATGACATTTCTCTATGAGCATGCAGGAGCCCTTCAGTAAACAATGGGTTCAGTCCCATCCAAAGACAGGCAGGAATAATAAAATGAAAGAGTTTAGCAGCCACCCCTCATATTGGCTCCAGTTCCTTTCCCTGCCTTGCTTGGAATAGGTTAGTTTATCTCAGCCTGGGCATTCAAGATTCCTTCTGGGGGGAAAACAAGAACAAATAAGATTAGCTGTGCAAAAGAAACAGTACAGGAAATCTGATGTCTGATTTTACCACAGTGACACATGCCTTTGTTACATCCTGTTTGTCTTGTTCCACCTTAGCAAAGCTTTCAACATCTATTGTAGTGGCTTATGAGATCCAACATATCCCTCACCTTTAAACACCACAGTTCAGCTCATTCCACCAGGACTTCAGCAGCATTTGCTGCTCACTCTGCTAATGGTTCTGTTTTGGAGATTTGTAGCACAGTTACCTGGTTTATGATGAGTAGCTTGAGCACATCCCATTGTTTACTGAAGGGCTCTCACAGAGCACAAACCATTGAATAATGTGAATGCTGCTTCTGGGGACACACACAAGACCTTGTGACCAATCCTTGTGGTTGAGTGGCACCCAGTTTTCTATTTGACCTTGCCTTTTCAGTTGGCTCCTTTTTATATCAGCAATTTCACCAACATTTGAACTTGTCAGACATCCTCTTTGTGTCATGCCTTTTCATAGTTTTTTCTTCTTCTCCTGATTACGATTCTTCTTGAATTTCCTCTTGGTTTTGTCTCCCGGTTTTCACTTCCTTAAGGTCTGCAAGAACTTGGCAACAGGGCAGGAACTGGAGGCAGGATGTGAGGGTTGGCTGCTAAGCTTTTACTTTCATGACCTTACCCCTGTCTATGTCTGGGTAGTGGATCTTTAGCCAGTGTTTACTGAGCCCATTGTCTCCCTCACATTCCCAAAAGGAGCATTCACAGTAAGTTTAAAATGCTCCATTCTCAAGTTTGGATCTTTCAGCTTTCCTTGATTATTGAGATATTTATACCCCACCTTTTCAATTCCAGAAGGTAATCTCAAGCTGGTTATCTCTCTACCGTTATCTCATCATGGACCACTTTCTCATTATTTTAATCTTCGTCCTCATATAGGCTGTGGGGAAATTGACAGGTTCATTCTGTTATATTTAGCTATATTTATGGATATATGGGGATGCAGGTGGCGCTGTGGGTTAAACACAGAGCCTAGGACTTGCCGGTCAGAAGGTTGGTGGTTCGAATCCCCACGACGGGGTGAGCTCCCATTGCTCGGTCCCTGCTCCTGCCAACCTAGCAGTTTGAAAGCACGTCAAAGTACAAGTAGATAAATGGGTACCGCTCTGGCGGGAAGGTAAACGGTGTTTCTGTGCACTGCTCTGGTTCGCCAGAAGTGGCTTAGTCATGCTGGCCACATGACCCGGAAGCTGTACGCTGGCTCCCTCGGCCAATAAAGCGAGATGAGCGCCGCAACCCCAGAGTCGGTCACAACTGGGCCTAATGGTCAGGGGTCCCTTTACCTTTACCTTTATGGATATATGAAAGCTCTGATAAATCTTTTTCAGAAATTAGATAAGAAACTCCGGGAGAACCTCAGAGATGCCAGAAACAGCCTTTTCACAGGTGACACACTTGGAGCTGGACAATTCAGGTATCAACATCTACTTGTATTTTTCAGCAGCCCTTTTTAAAGTCCTATATGTATTCATGCTTTGCAGATTTGCAGCATGTCATTGCTTTTCATCTGCTTAGCTGGAAGATATAGCAATATTGGGATTTAAAATCCTAAGGAGAGAAAAACATTCTACATGATTTTAAAATAATGGAATGATTTTTAAATGGGGAAACCAAGCCAGATGGGCAGGGTATAAATAAATTATTATTATTATTATTATTATTATTATTTAGCAGGTGGCAAAATGCTTCATATTTCGTAACTATTTTGCAGGGTTTGGCAATGAATTTGGCCACAGAAATATTCCAAATATATTTCAGGTTATTAACTTTAATATTTTTATTTAGTTTCCAGAGACCTCTCTTAGTACTTGTTGACAGAAACATTGATTTGGCAACTCCTCTACACCATACTTGGACCTACCAAGCCTTAGTGCACGATGTACTGGTAAGAAACTTGTTTTTTGTGACTGTATATTCTTTGTTTATTATTATTACCAGCTCAATAATGTAAAACTTTGGTTCAGTGCTTGCCTTAAGACAGGAATGGGGAAATTGTTTCTCTCCAGATAGCATTGGATGACAACTCCCATCATCCCTGACCATCAGTTATGCTAGCTAGAACTGATGGGAGTTTGAGTAACAACATCTGTAGAGCCACAGATTCCCCATCCATGGCTGGTAAAACTGCCTAAAAACCCATTTCTTTCCACATAAAGGAAAACAGAAATCCTTACATGTGCAAAACAGCTGTTAGTTTGAACCATAATTTCCCTCCCATTATAACTGTTTATGAATGTAATTTGAGGCTGTGGTCTGCTGTAGTACAAATTTGGTTACTACCTAACTTTCACATAATGACAGTTGTGCTGTCAAATTCCTCAAATTTTGGCTGGACTTCATAACCATTCATTATTTCTAGTAGTCAGTGAGATTGGTTTTTCACTTGCTGCTCTACAAGTACATTGCTTTTGTACTTGCTTTCTGGTGAGGTGGATTTTATATGCGTTGGTTACCATATTTGTAGACCACTGAACTTGTGTGATGTGCATAGTGGATGCAGTAATAACAGTGAGATGAGATGAGATGAGATGAGATGAGAGCTAATAAACTGGATGAGAGCTAATAAACTGAAGCTCAATCTGGATAAGACTGAGGCACTGTTAATGGGTGGTTCCTTTAGGCCAGACAGGAAGGTGGCCTGTACTCGATGAGGTTACAGTACCTCTGAAGAAGAGGGAATGTGCCTTGTGGATACGTCTCAATCCATTGCTGTTGCTTGAGGCTCAGGTGGCCTAGGTGGTCCAGAGTGCATTCCAACAGCTTTGGCTGGTAGCCTAGCTGTGCCCCTGTTTGGACAGAGATAGCTTAACTTCTGTTGGCTATGCTCTGGTAACCTCTAGGTTAGATTTTTGCAACGCATATGTCGGGCTACTTCTGAAGATAGTTCGGAAACTTCAGCTGCTGCAGAATTCAGCGGCCAGGGCGAGACAGTTTGAGCATAAAACACCAATCCTGGCCTGACTTCACTGGCTGCCAATTAATTTTCCGGGCCCAACTCAAAGTGCTGGTTTTGACCTATAAAGCCTTAAACGGCTTGGGACCACAATAACTTAATAATTCCTCTCCCCATATGGACCTACCCGAACCTGCAATCGTCATCTTAGGCCTTTCTTAGTGTGCCTCCTCTGCAAGAGGTCTGGAGGGGAGGTAACACAAGAATTAGCCTTTTCAGTGGTGGCTTCCCATTTGTGGAATGCTATCCTAGAAGGCTCGCCTGGTGCCTTTGTTACATATCTATAGGAACCATTCCTCATTTTCCAGGCCTTTGGCTAATTAAAAAATCTATGGCCTTTTAAACTGTTTTTTTCTATGTTATGTGTTTTTGAGTTTTTATATTGTAAACAGCCCTGTGATCCTTAGAGGAAGGGAGGTATAGAAATTTAAATAAAATATAGCCAATAAATAAAATATGGCCAATACTTAGGATCATTTTTACCTGTTGTAACAAAAACTTTTAGTTTACTGTTTGAATGTTTCATGAAGTTTGCACATATCAGAATAATATTTAGCACTGTTTTATAATTCCTATTCAGTTCATAACACAACTATCAACATTAAACATTAAAATGTTATTCATCACCACAAGATGGTGTAGATGTTCCATATTAAGAAACTCAAAGAATAACAAGACAGTCTTGTGGTTATAAGTTGCTGTTTTTTAACTAGGAAAAGAAAACCTAAAGAATTATGGATAGCTGTTAACCAGAGCTGATATAGCCCTGTTAGACTATTTTAGGCCTCTACATCTACATGTAACTTTATGCATCTGAAGGAGACTAGAGTCCACTTACATAAATTATGCCATAATAAATTTATCAGTCTTTTAAGACTTGACAACTCCCCATGCTACCAATCTGGGCATATTAACTTTCTTTTTGAAAAATCCTTCATTTTTGTTTATGAACCCAAACCAGAGATTCCCAAACTGTGGTCCATGGACCACTAGTGGTCTGCGAGCTTTATTCAGGTGGTCCATGGTATGTTTGTCCATTTGTGATTGAAGACAGCATATGCATCACATTAAACATTCATATTGATTTTTAATTGTATATTTGCTGCTACTTTTAATTTATAATATTTTGATTTGTATGGTATTCAAATTGTAATACAATAAAATATGGGTGGAATTCAACAGCATGTTATTACAACGCTCCATCTGCACAGACACTCATTATAGTCTTGCCTATGGAGAATACTGATTACATATCTTAATAAAAATAAACTATTTCAAGAAAATGTATATTATGTCTTAAAGCAGGTGGGGGTTCTGAAATATGAAATTGTTTTTAGGATACAGTTACCTTTGAAATTCAAATAATAGCCACTTCTTAAAAGCATATTTCCGGGAAACATTTTAAATAGAGTTTATAGATGTTTTTCTAACATTTCTGACATACAAGTTGAATTTCAGAATTAATACTTCATAAAGCTAGTATAATTTATTTAGGGGCATTTTATCCCTTTTATAGAATTTTTATTTTTGTAATGGGAAAAAGTTACTGTGATGGGATTATGAGCTGCTTGTGCGTAAAATCGTATTCCCTCAGAGTTTGTTCAAGTCCACAAACCTCTGTCTGTGACTGAGCCCCTCTGACATGGCTCCTCTAGTCACTAGAAGATTCCGACAGTGGTTGCTTCGTAATCGCTTCCAACATAAAAGCTCCTTAACGGAAACACGTCTTCTGGACTCTCTGCGTGACAGTTTCCGGCGAGGAGTGGGTGTCGCTACAGGAGGTCCGGAAACCTCACCACTGTTTTCGCTGGAAGTATCTCTGAGCCATCCCCCCAGCTCCCTTTCCCTCAGTTCAGCTTCTCTCCCCTACTGGTTTCCTCTTCCGCTGCTGAGTCTCTTCCAACCTGTCTGAGCCCTTTCACCTCCCTCAGTTCAGCTTCTCTCCCTTGCTGGTTCCCTCTTCAGCTGCTGAATCTCTTCCAACCTGTCTGAGTCCTTTCACCTCCCTTCCTTCCGATGGCAGTTCCCTGACATCCACCTCCCCTCCAGGGCCCCCTTCACCCCCTCTCGCCCTCTCCTCTACGGGCGGTGAGGAGGCAAACCCCGGAATGAACTTCCTTCATCTTCCGATGTCTCGAACACTTCTCTCCACCTGTTGCGGTTCCTGGTCTCAAGCACTCCTCCTCCTCCGAGTCCATCTCCCTTCCCCTTCCGATTCTGGGAATCCTTCCAACTCCTCCTCCTCCTCAGTGGTCCCAAAGCATTCCTCCGGAACCTCTCCACAGGCTGAGGTTTCACGGGAACCTTTGATGGAACATTTCTATCAATACCTCGTCATTGATATCTTTGGCCATTACCCACGTGTTTTCTGACTCCGGTTCTCCTTCCCACGCTACCAAATACTCCACCTGATTCCCTTCCACCTGGCATCAAGGATTTCTGCCACATGACTGCTGCATTCTCTTTCTTCTATGACCGGTCCCCGAGTGGCCATCCCTTCTCGTCCCCTCGTACGGTGACAGTAACGACCTGTGAAATACTGGGTGCAGTTTCATGTGGTTGGGTAACCGGAGCCTGAAAGCCACTGGGTTGACCTGTTGAATGACCTCAAAGGGACCCAACCTCCTGGGTCGTAATTTCTTACAACCTCCTTTGAACGGCAACCCTCGGGTTGACAGCCACACCCTATCTCCAACCCTTATGGTTTCACCTTCCCTTCGGTTCTTGTCTGCCTGCCTCTTGTATTCTTCCTTCGCCCTTTCTAAGTTGAGTTGGAGCTGACGGTGGATTGCTTCCATTTCTTCTACAAAATGCTCGGCTGCCGGTACGCTCCATCTCTCCCCTTCTTCCCCTGGGAAAGCCCTGGGATGACACCCATAATTAGCCAAGAAGGGGCTCATCCCTGTGGACACATTCTCGGCATTGTTGTAGGCAAATTCCGCCAGCGCCAACTTTTCTACCCAGTCATTCTCTCTGTCATTGACATAACACCTCAGGTATTGCTGGAGGACACCGTTTGCTCTTTCCGACTGCCCGTTGGTTTCCAGGGTGCCGGGCAGTCGAAAGTTGACCTCCACCTGCAGTAAGCTCATGAGCTTCCTCCAGAACCTGGAAGTAAATTGTTTTCCTCGGTCTGAGACCACCCTCAATGGCACCCCGTGCAACCTAAAAATGTGTTCTACAAATAACTTCGCTGTCTCTTCCGCCGTGACTGCATGCGAGCAAGCTACAAAGTGGCACATCTTTGTTAGTAGGTCTACCACCACCATGATGGCTGTTTTCCCTTTGGACTTCGGCAGATCAGTCATAAAATCTATCGACACTGCCTCCCAAGGTCGTTCTGGTGTTGGTAAGGGTTCTAACAGCCCCGCCGGCGCCCGCCTTTCCCCTTTGGCTCGCTGGCACTGCTCGCACCCTCTTACATACTCACGTACATCCTCCCTCACCTTAGGCCACCAAAATTCCCTGGTGACCAACCACATGGTTTTGTGTTGCCCAAAATGCCCCGCCGTGGGGCTGTCATGCAACTGCTTGAGTACCCTCCCCTTAAGTCTCCTTCAGGGATATACAGTGCCCCTTTGTAATACAAAGCTCCATTTCTTTCCTCGAAACCCCTTGATTCCTCTCCCTCATCCCTAAGACCTCTGAGCTTATTCTGGGCGTATTCATCATTCTCTGTTTCTTCTACCAGTTCTCTTTGTCCCACCAATGCCGCCCCACACACCCAGCGGTCCTCTGGAATGACATGTCTCTCTTCGGGTGCTCGCTCCCCCTCCAAATATTCAGGTTTGCGTGAGAGAGCGTCCGCCCTAATGTTCTCTGGGCCTGGCACGTAACAAATCTCAAAGTTAAATGTGGAGAATTCCTGGGCCCATCTCACTTGCCGGTGGGTGAGCACTCGTGCCGTCCTCCAATACTCTAGGTTCTTGTGGTCAGTGCACACTTGCACCTTATGTTGTGCGCCAATTAGCAGGTGCCTCCATCTCCGGAACGCCTCATGAATGGCTAGTAGTTCTCGGTCATACACCGTGTAGTTCCTCTCGGATTTGTTCAGCTTTCGCGAAAAAAGCACACGGTCTCCACTCTGACTCCTCCTTCCCTGGCTGGAGAAGCACCGCCCCAACCGCTCTGTCTGATGCGTCAGTTTCCACTCTCATCGGTTTTTGTAAATCCACATGCAGGAGCTGTTGTTCCGAGGCGAAGGCCCTTTTAGTTCCTCAAATGCTTGCTCCGCCTCCTCCGTCCAAACGAACTTCTTCTTACTGCTGAGACAGTCCGTAATGGGCGCCGTCAGGTGGGCAAAGTTTGGGATGAACTTACGATAGAAGTTCCCAAACCCTAAAAACCTCTGCACATCCTTCCTTGTTTTGGGTGTTTTCCATTCCAGTACCGCCTGGACCTTGTCGGGATCCATGGCCAACCCCTTGTCAGACAGGCGATACCCCAGGAATTCCACCTCCTTGGTATGAAACTGACACTTCTCCAGTTTCACCCACAGCAGGCTGGCTTGCAGCCTGCTCAACACTTCTCTGACGTCTCTCACATGCTGCTCCTCATTCTCAGAATACACCAACACGTCGTCTAAGAAGGCCACACAATTCTTGTAAAGCAACGGCCCCAGGACGTGGTTCATAAACGATTGAAATGTTATGGAGCCTGCTTGTAGACCGAAGGGCATAACTAAGTATTCAAATGCCCCTAAAGGGGTGAACATGGTGGTTTTCCATTCATCCCCCTTCCTTATTTGTATCAGGTTGTACGCCCCCCTTAGATCCAGCTTGGTAAAAATCTTTCCCTTCCGCACCCTTGTCAAAATGTCGTCAATCCTGGGCATCGGGAAGGCCACTGGTTCTGACACTGCATTTAAGGCCCTGAAGTCACACACCAGTCTCGGCTTGTTCGTGTTTTTTTGTCCACAAAAACACTGGGCTGCCCCCACCGCCCTGGACTCTCTGATGAACCCTCTCTTCAGGTTCTTGTCAATGAACTCTCTTAGCTCCTGCATCTCTCTGTCTGACATGGCGTACAGCTTGCCCACAGGGAGCTGTGCCCCAGGGAGCAAATTGATTTGACAGTCAAAGGCTCTATGCGGTGGTAGTTGGTCAGCTTCCCTTCGCTGAAGACGTCGCGGAGATCTGCGTATTGTCGTGGTACCTTCACGTTCTCCGTCACTTCAGTCCCTGCTAGAGTGGCTTGGGCCCCTGCCAAAACCCTTCCCTCTTTGCAATGTTCTAAGCAATGTGCTGACCCAAAAGAAACCACTCTTTGATGCCAGCCCACCAGCGGATCATGTAACGCTAGCCAGCTCATCCCCAATATAATGGGAGCTCCTCCCAAGGTGGCCACATTAAATGCTATTAGTTCGGTGTGCCTTGCCACCTTCATTATCATTGGGACGGTCTGCAAGCTGACTTCTCCTCCCAACAGCTCCCTGCCATCGATCGTGGTTACCTGCAGGGGTTGCTTAAAGGGAGCGTCTGTATCTGGTGTTCAGCTGCAAACTCTTTGCTCATGAAATTGCAGGAGCTGCCTGAGTCCAACAGCGCCTTTATCTTTAGAGGGTGTCCGTTTGGCAGCTCTAGTGTCACTTCTATCACTAGGGCGGGTTTAGGAGGTTCTGGAGTGGGCACTTTCACTGCTCTTTGGCCTGGCTGCTGTGCCCCGACAATGGCAGCCAGGCGTTGGCTTTTAGTTGCTCCGGTATTTTTCCTCTCTTCCCTCCACAGCTCCCACCATCCCTTGCCATTCCTTCCTCTGGGGGCAGACTCTGGCAAAGTGCCCTGGCTGTTGGCAGAGATAGCATTTCCGGGCGCCTTTTCCATCCTTCTTTCCCCTCACTGGGCTTTGAAACTGCGCGCGCGCGCTGTTCCGATTTCCATCGGCTCTGCCGGCGGGACAGTTGACTCTGGAATGTCTGGAATGCGGAACTCCGTCCACCGTTCCCCTCCCCTTCCCGCCTCTCCAATGCTCTCGCCTCCTGGCGCGCTCCTATGGCCAGCGCTGATTTGGTCAGCTGGTCCATAGACTCCGCCCTGGGCGCCCGGGAAAGTTCATCTTTCACAGCCGAAGAAAGCCCTTCTTCAAAGAGCATTTGAATGGGTTCCGCCGATAAGTCCCACCCCAATCTGTGTATCAGCATGGTGAACTCAGTCCAGTACTCACGTACAGATCGGCTCCCTGTTTGCAAGCCATTAACTGTCTGCGCACCACTCCCTTTTCAATATCGCTGGAAAACATCAGATCCATGGCGCGAAAGAACTTCATTGTGTCCTTTAGGACGTCACTATGCGCTGCCATCAGGGGTCTCACCCAGTCTCTCGCCCCTTTTCAAGATGCCCAATCACAAAAGCCACTCGTGATTCCTCATCAGGGAAATCATCAAACTGCAGATTGAGGGCATATTGCATTTCTGTCCGAAAGCTATGATAGTCTTTGGGCTCCCCCCCAAATTTCTGCACCAATCCTGGTACCTTTCTGGCGAGCTGGGTGGCTTTCTCCCTTTTGTCTGCATCTTGAGCCCTCCTCTCCTCCAGCCTCGCCGTCTGCAGCGCCAGCTGGACCTCCAACACCCGGTACCTTTCTTCCAGGCTTGGACCCGCTCCAGCCCCTGCTTCTCCGGTTCCTGCTGGGTTGCTCATTATGCCTTCTCCTGCACAAGCTGCGTTCAGAGACTGTCGGAATGCTGTGATGGGATTATGAGCTGCTTGTGCGTAAAATCGTATTCCCTCAGAGTTTGTTCAAGTCCACAAACCTCTGTCTGTGACTGAGCCCCTCTGACATGGCTCCTCTAGTCACTAGAAGATTCCGACAGTGGTTGCTTTCGTAATCGCTTCCAACATAAAAGCTCCTTAACGGAAACACGTCTTCTGGACTCTCTGCGTGACAGTTTCCGGCGAGGAGTGGGTGTCGCTACAGGAGGTCCGGAAACCTCACCACTGTTTCGCTGGAAGTATCTCTGAGCCATCCCCCCAGCTCCCTTTCCCTCAGTTCAGCTTCTCTCCCCCTACTGGTTTCCTCTTCCGCTGCTAAGTCTCTTCCAACCTGTCTGAGCCCTTTCACCTCCCTCAGTTCAGCTTCTCTCCCCTTGCTGGTTCCCTCTTCAGCTGCTGAATCTCTTCCAACCTGTCTGAGTCCTTTCACCTCCCTTCCTTCCGATGGCAGTTCCCTGACAGTTACATAAGTTTTTTCTTCTTTATGTAAATCAATGTTCAGTTTTCTCTTGGCTGATGCACTCAAGGGAGATTGTGGCATGCTGAACCAAATGCCATTCCAGCTACATATTTATAGCAATTCATCTGTTTAGGTAATAACTGTACCATTGCTGCTTATAAACAGGTTGATCTGTGGAGAATTGCATTACTCTTTTCATTGGGAGTCAGAAAGTTGTGTTCTGTGAAAGTACAGAAAATATTTTTCTTCTCCTGAGTGGGGTAGACATTTCCCCATAATTCACATTAATATCTTTCAGTTCTTTACTAGAGGAGTCAAGCAAAGCAAAGAGTAGGCTTGGCGCTCTCCTACCCAACTCTTTTCTCTCTTTTTCTCCCCACCCCTCCCATGGCAGTATCGGTCTGTTAGATCCTCTTTCTGTTCTTATGAACTGAGTAGTCCATGGGACATCTTCATCTCCCCCATTTCATCCCTACCACCTGAAGCGTTGGAGTCTGTTCTTCCTACACCGATGCAAAAGTTTTACCATATTTTTGGTTGGGAAAATAGATATAAATGGAGCTGAAGTATAATAATGCCAGTCAGTATAAGGAGAAAATGCTTGGAAAATTGCAGTATCTTCCCATTTGCTGTTGAATTAAAGCCATTGAAGAGCCAAATTTGGTGGCTAGGTTGCTCACCGGGGCAAGACTATTTGAGCATATAATGCCAGTCCTGGTTTGGCTGCCACTTAGTTTCCAGATCCAATTCAAAGTGCTGGTTTTGACCTATAACGAGTTAAATGACTCAGGACCACAATACCTGAAGCTATGGCAACATGAGAATGGACCTTCTCTGTAGTGGCATGTTTTCTCCTGCTCTGGAGAGTAAGATTCAAACCAATGGCTTCAAGTTAGGAGCCATTCCGACTAAACAACAGATAAAACTTTCTGACAGTAAGAGCTGTTTGAAAGTGGAACGGTCTCCCTCAGGAGGTTGTGGACTCTCCTTTCTTGGAGGTTTTTAAGCAAAGGATGGATGGCCATAGATGCTTTAGTTGTGATTTCTGCATTGCATGGAGTTAAACTAGATGACCTTGGTGTTCCTTCCAGCTCTACAATTCTATGCTATTATTTGAACACAATCATATGCCAGTGTGAAATACTTATTATAGTTGTGTGTAGTGCTTAATATAATGTGTGACTCTTCCATTTTGACTTTTTCCTAGGCAGAGAAAAAGAACAGTAAGGACAGTTACTAACTTTTAGCCATCTTTTTTAAAGTAAAAAACAATTACAGAGAGTTGCACTGGTAGCTGCAGCTTCTAGGCGGGAGATGCCATTTTTAATTCTCCAAACACCAACTGTGTGAGGAAATGTGGGGTGTAAATGCATTGAATAATAATAATAATCCAGAGGTGCCTTTCATTTGTGTTGCCTGAAATGGTTCCAGGAATGAGAGGAGATAGATATGGGCAAAATTAAAGAACTCCCTTTGTCTCTCTTTTCTCTATCCCATCTCCAAGCTGTTCTTCATACAATGCAGACTCCAGTTCAGAGGATGAGAGGGTAATCCACAGCAAGGAAAAAAGAGAACCTTATTTTCTCTCACTTTCAATGTATATTTTCTTCCATCCCCACCCCTCCCATTTCCCAGGTTGTCTTGGATTGCCTGGGCATTCTCAGAACAAAAGAGGAAGGAGGCAAATTAAAAAGCGTCTGAATGTTTTGCAGAAACATAGCCAAATAATGTTTTGTAATATTCAGAAGTTGCAACAGTTGCCCAATGGAAAAAGCCAATAATAATAATAATATCTATTCTTAAGCTTTTGTACAAAGAGTAGACTACAAGTAAACTAGCACAATTTGAGGCAGCGTTTAAAATGTCATATTTAATAGAAAGAATATGAGATTTCATTTGCTCTGCATATTCAGAATCACATTCAACAGTTGCCCTTTTTATAATCCCATTTTGAATTAGGAATATTCTGCTTTCCATTGTGGGGCAGCAGGCAAAAATGTTTAATCCATATAATTTTCTTTAAAGGATTTTCATTTGAACAGAGTTGTTTTGGAAGAGTCTTCAGGAATGGAAAATTCCCCAGCAGGTGCTAGACCAAAGAAAAAAAATAAAAAGTCATATGATTTAACTGTAGCTGATAAATTTTGGCAGAAGCATAAAGGAAGGTAAGTTGGATATTTTAAATTAACTACTTCTGCTTCAAGGTCTATTACTAACTAGGGGCTTTGCCCCTGCTCACTCCACTTACCAATCTCTCTGCCATTCCCCACCACACCAAACCCCTTCCCACCTCATGCCACTACGGAGATCACTGTTCACCTTCCTAACCCCATTTCCAAAGCCACGTCTCTCTTCTTCAGGCTTGCTTTGCACTCATTTTCACCTTCACCCCAACTTCCTTTTGTTCAACTCTCCTTGAATACAAATAACCCCCATAGTAACCTCTTGCATCTTTCTCATCCCACACATTGCAACTACTAAGCAGCCTTTTCACCTTCTGCCTGTCTATGAAGCCACCCCCTTCTATTCTACAGACCCTTTCATGCCCCTGCTTCAATCCCATTCCTCTTATTCCCTCCTTTTTAACCCCCTTTGCACCTCCTCCACCCTCCTCTCCCTTGCACACAGACCACTCCCATTTTCATGCCTCCTCCTCTCTCCAGTTTTGCAGCCTTCTTTACACAACATGATGATATATGTTACTCTATATTTAAGATGAATAAAATCTTAACAGCAAATCTGTCAGTTAGCTTATTCAGTTACAGAAGACTAAGGTCACTTGATGGGTGTTACACATAGATTGGTGTTTGCTTGTTAATAAAATATCTTCTAAATTACTACATTGAATCTAGAACGTCATATCGAAGACAACACAGGGTACGAGAAGTGAAATACATAATTGTGGGAAGTTACTATGAAATGTTTGAAGGCTTCACATTGTTTATCTCTCTCACATGAAGCAGCTGAGGAATAGCAGAAGAAGAGGTTTAAAACAGCCAATTTTCAGTGTCCTTCTTGCTGGACTCCTCAAACAATGGCAGAAGTTAGGCAGAGGGACACTGAGAAGAAAATTGAGGTTTGAGTAAAGCAGGGATGGAGAGACAGTGAGGGTTCGTTTAAAAAAAAAACAGTTTTAACAAGGAGAAAAGAGAAGGGTACTGAGTTACTGTGTGCAGCCTCAGATGTGTTTGCGATGAAGGGTTGGTGGGCTGAATGAAAGTGAATAAAGGACTATGGAAGCCGGGGTTTTTACAGACTGTGTTAATTTAAAGTGTAGATTTAAACAGTGCCTACATAATCTCTTTAGCCCTTTCCCAGAGGTAGCTGAGTCGGTTCAGCAAGAGCTAGAAACTTACAGAGCTCAGGAAGATGAAGTCAAGAGGCTTAAAAGTATAATGGTAAGATTTGCTTATATCTAACTTAAAATATTATTCTTGGAATTTATACAGTGCTTTAAAATGTTGACATTCAAGAAATGTACTGGGTGTTTCCAGGAAGTAAATGCACAGGAAGGGGGAGTTGGGAGGACTTGAGAGGCACTGCAGCACAGCCCTATTAGGACTGGAGTTTAAACCTCTAACAAGGTTGCACTTTTAAGAGATGCATGGAAAACAACTCCTGCAACCAAGCTTGTGCCAGATGTATTGCTCTGCTTTCATTTGGACCACATCAGCGGGGCTGAGAGGGGGGGGTCGTCTCATCTGGGCAGCCCAGGCCCTCCATACACACTGTCCAGGCTTGTACCCCAAAGAAATCCCTTCGGTGCTGGAGGAGACAGGAGGCAGCAGTTACATGTTACTGGTCTCTGCAGCCCCCAGCAGGTGCTGGTATTCTCCAGTGGTTTGACTTCATCCCTGTAGGCACACTGTATCTTTTGATGCAGACAGCTGCCAACAACACTAGGAAAGCAGTGAACAATATCTCTATATTTTGAGGTAATTTTAAGGTCTGGCAGAGGGCTTGTTGGAAGTCTGCATTCACCCATTGTGTTGGTAATCATATTTTAGGGAGCCATTCACAGAAGAGACTTGAAAATTTTTCAGTATTTTCAATCCTTTTTTGTGATTTTTGTGAACTGCTTTGAAATTATTTTTCCAGTTAAGTGATATATAAATTCTATGAAACAAATATATAAACCAGTAGACCTAGATTTATCTTTCTTCAAAACCTGTGTAAAATTGAATTGTGGTTCTTCTGTTATAAAGTTCAATATTTCAACTGGATTTTCACCATATTTTTGTTCTTCAAGTATATATGGTGGTTGTTTTTTTGAAATTATTTTTCTTCCCAGGGACTAGAAGGTGAAGATGAAGGAGCAATAAGTATGCTTTCTGATAACACAGCTAAGCTAACTTCAGCTGTTAGGTAAGCAATATTACTGAAGCATTCTTAAGTGCTTGCAAAAGACATTTAATCGGTTTTCTTTCTTATTCAGTTTTAAGGATACTTGACTGACTCTCCAGAGTATGTTCCATAGTAGAAGCATAACACTGTGACACACTAGTGTACCCCAATGATATAAGATAACATTGGTGCCAAATTATAGGCTGGGAAGATTAGGAAGTCTGATTATTGAAATCATACCACTACAGATTACATCTTGTAACATTTGCTGAGGGGCAGAGAAATAGGATTTACATATCCAGTATCCTGATCCTGTGCTAGAGCTGGGTGATATTTCGATTCTTTGTCTGAAACTGGTACGAAGTTCAGATTGTGATATCGGTTTCAGACTTTTTGAGGCTGCCATGCATCGCAGCTCCCTGGCCACTGCCAGCACAGCGCATTTCACTCCCATCTGTCTGCCTGCCTGCGCTGTGCTGGCAGTGGCCAGGGAGCCTCAATGTATGGCCCGCTGAAATTGCCTGTTCTGCCTGCCTGCCTGCCTGCCTGCCTGCCTGTGTGTTTGCCTTCACCCGAGCAAGCTGCCATATCTCTTCTCTGGTGGTACTGTTATTGTTGGCTTGCTTCCCAAGTGACCAAAGGCCTCAGATATCACAGGTGCGTGTTTATAGGTGGAGACTCCTAGAGGCATTTAAAACTTTTCAGTGGCTGGTGATTCCAGTCAAGTTCCTCCCCACCCACTGTCCCCAAGTCACATACTTGGGAACTCTTATCACAGAGCCAGTGAGTAGAGCAAGGTAGGGCCTAAGGCAGCCTTTCCCAGCCTGGTTCCCCCTGACATTTTGGACTACAATTCTGTCCTTCGTGATGTCATGTCGGCTGAGGTTGATGGGAGTTGTCATCCAAAACATCTGTAGAATACCAGGCTGGAAAAGGCTGGTGGTCTAAAGTGTGTCTTGGCACAGAGAACCTAAACTTGTTTTGGATATCCATTTCCTGTATCTCAGAAGCTGCTGATTTGAGCATACTACTGTCTCTCAAAAGTATTATCTTGTTCCCTTATATGTATATCATATTTTGGGTTGCTAAATATGGAGTTGAATTGGACTACATAGTGCGGACAGTTAGTTTGTATGTAATTTCTTCAGCTCTCTTCCAGAGCTTCTAGAAAAGAAGAGGCTCATAGATCTTCATACAAATGTGGCAACAGCTGTTCTGGAACACATAAAGGTATGGAAAATAGAGTTATTTGAAGCTCATTAATCATGAAGCTTTCTAACATACTAAATATTCTGAAATCAGTGTTCTTCTGTAAAACATTTGCAATAACTTCATTTTTAGAAGAAGGAACAAGTAAGTTAACAGCAAAAAGAACAAGAAAGATACTATCTATCACAATTAAATTAAAATGCCAGACAAAAATTAACATTTTTGCAGAGTGCTTAAGCGAACCACTGAAATGATCTGCTATGCTTCCTTTGGGGAAGGGGCTATTCCTATAGCTGTGGTGCTGCCACTGATGAAGCCTTATTATGAGCAAGGGAAGGAAACTGGGAGAGCAGAAATTTTTGATGGGAAGAGAGACAGTAGATAATAGCTGTTATAGTGAACAATTGCTTGAGCTGGATTCATCCTAAGTGCCTTGAGCGAGGAGTGTCATTCTGCTTGTATGTACTTGTCAGTATCAAGTATTGCAGTCTACATGGATAGGCAATGATGTTCCACTTCCTCGCTGTGCAAACTTAACCATAGTTGTCTGTGTCATGGAGGGTGTCGGTTCCCCAATTCCTCGCTCCAGGCTACTCATCAGTTACACGCAGGCACTGAGCGGGTTACCAGGCTTTATTGGCTTCTTCCTTGGCAAAAGTTACAGGGCATCAAACAACAAATCTAATAAACGGCATGTTCTCTCCTGCTCCCGGCAGGTTAACTCAATGATTTATAGGGGCTGGGGGATGCAGGCAACCAGCCAGCCCCATCACATGCTCCCACTTTGGGAGACGAATTGTTACCACCTGCCTAAGGGGCCCCACCCAGCAGTACTTGCTCGCAGGATCACCACTTCATGACAGTCTGAATCATTAGCAGCTACTACCATCATCTCCAGCATTTTTGAGAACTGGTGCAGTTTGGAAGCCAATAGCATAAACAGTAGACTAATGCAAATTTGCCATCAGCCACAAACACTCTACATGAATTTAGGCAAAGTACTATCGCTCATCTTCAATCTGGAGCTAAAAATATGAGTACAGTCATACCTTGGGTTACAGATGCTTCAGGTTGTGCATTTTCGGGTTGTGAACTGCACCGAACCCGGAAGTACCGGAATGGGTTACTTCTGGTTTTCGGTGCATGCGCAGACGCGCCAAATCGCAACCCGTGCATGCACAGACACGGCGCTGTGGGTTGCGGATGCTGGGGGTTGCGAAAGTGCCTCCCACACAGATCACGTTCGCAACCCGAGCGTCCACTGTACTGTAAAATGAAGTTTGTTTTCTCAGGACTCTGAAGGGATACATTAGTTCCATTTTGGAATCCTGGTTCTATTATTTAAAGCAGGGGTCATTCTTTGGGTGGAAAAACATAGCCAGTTTTAAAGTTCTAGCCTTCATTTTTTCATAGAGAATATCATTGTGTTGTCAATTTATAGGCTACATTTTTGGAATGTACAGTGTTAACAAAAATTGAAACAGCTACAGCATCTCATGTTTGATAAAAATGAATAAGAAACTTATTTTTATCTTATTCAGAAATGATCTTAGACTCAAGCTAGTATTCTGCCAGATCATATTCTCATCTTACGAACAAAAAAAGAGAGGAAAAGGTTTAAGCAGAAGGCCATGCCTGTATATCATGCTGCTATTAGGAGAACAACTACACTATCAGAAATAGCTAACCCAAGCAATTTTTATCCACTGCTTTCCTTTTAAAAAGCTTATTGGTTCCTGATAATAACTTCACAAAGAATAATTTACGTCGGTTGAATTTTGAAAATTTGTGATCGCCAGCTGCCCAGTCTATGTAACCTAAAACAATACCATGGATGAATACCCACCTTCAGCAATGCACCTAATTAGTGTAATTTTAATTGAAAGAATTTTTATTATTTACACACTATTTCCCCTCCTCTGGATTTGACAGCAATATCACTTTTTTCTGCAGTGTTTGACATGGAACATTTTATGAAAGCTTTATGAGTTCTGAATAATAGTGCAGTATTTCCATAGAATTTGATTGAAGTCAAATGTGCAGTGGGTGACGTTGAGTCCTTATTTGATGCCTTATTTGTCACCTTTTTTTTCTGGGAAAGTGGTGGCAGGTCATTGACAGCAGCATTTTACACTGGACTTCGATCAAATTCCAAGGCAGGATGTGGTTTGGAAATAATTGCATGGTTGACTATCTCCCACTTCCAAGGCACAGAAATCTGATGTCCTTTCTGAAGTGGATGCTTTTGACACTGCAGAGGTAGAATAAATTATTAGTGTGTCCCCTTTCTGTCTCAAGATGGGAGATTATTAAAGAAAAATAAAAGACAGATCTATCATCGAACTCAGGGCAGTCCAACTTTTCATACCAAGTGGGCCGCAAGAGCACTTAAGCATGGAACCTGCGGGCCTTGTCGTGCCAAGGGGGAGGAGAAGGCCAAAATTTGACCTCCCCTCCCCTAGCCCTCATGCTGCCTTCCCAAAGCTGGAGGCACTGGGCGTTGGGAAGGAGGCACAAGGCTCTGATGGTAAAAACCCTTTAGTATAAAGTATTTGGATTAGACTATGTCTTAAGATTGCACATATATGTGCACGCATGCACACACACACACACATACCTTTTGACGTCAGTGTAGTTTAGAGAAGAGTAATTGGGCACAGAGTTGCAGTTAAAGATTTACAAAGACTTATTTAAAGGGTGTTACTTCGTACAGTGTAGTATTACCTGATCTGATCATTTGTACCTTATCTGAGAAGTAATTTTAAAGTCATACTATGTGTAATAGTGGTATTTTTAGATTCAGTTTACAGCTGCTTTCCACATTGCGTTAGATCATTTTCGAAGGCACAGCAAGAGGAACTGTGAGATTAATCACCAGCTCATGGAACCTGGCAGTTTTTTGGCATATTTCAGTGTTGAGCAAAAATTCTGGAAAGAACACACCAGTATTTCCCAGGATGGATTAGCAAATATTTATTGGTAAAGCTTAGAAGAAAAGAAACCTTGTTTTAGGTTAATTGTTTAAGCTGTTAGGAGTTTGGCAACTAATAATCATAGCCAAAATAGGGTTTGTTTTTTGTTTTGTTTTGTTTTTAAAAAGGCTGTCATTTTATTGGAAACATTCTTATACTGCTGTTCTGGGCACCTTTATGCATTTTTCTTTCCCACTAGTTTCAGTGAGAGTTAAGCATTAGCAGTGGGTACATGGTTGAAGTCTTGGTGTATAGTATTTCCTTATTTTAATCTAATTGTGGTTCTGATTTCTGTTGAATTTTTTCATAGATTTATAGTATTTCCAAAAATAATAATGTAGATATGTGACTTTTTCTACAAGTTTATTTTAAGATATAATAGAACAAATAGTTTGACAGAAGGATTGTGACTATTGGCCAATTACTACTCTAGCATCATAGAATATGTGAATGTAGTTAAAGACCTGAAATATTTGCAGAACTATTAGCACCTTCCCCTGTACGGTAGCCATCAAGTACTTTTTTGCTTTACAGGGGCCTAAGGGCCTTCTAGTAAGTCATCTTGTTTGTCTGCCTCTTGCATAGCACTAAACTCTGGGCTACCTTTTTCACAGCTGCCACACACTCAACCAACATATTCATCAAGCTATCCACTCTGACCCCAAGATCTCGTTTTGGTCAGTCACCGCCAATTCAGGCCTCATAAGAGTATATATAAAATGAAGATTTTCTGCCTCAAAATGCATCATTTTGCTTTTGTTTACACCATTGGTAGGCAAACTAAGGCCCGGGGGCCAGATCCAGCCCAATCACCTTTTAAATCCGGCCTGCAGACAGTTCGGGAATCAGCATGTTTTTACATGAGTAGAATGTGTGCTTTTATTTAAAATGCATCTCTGGTTTATTTGTGGGGCCTGCGTAGTGTTTTTACATGAGTAGAATGTATGTACTACTATAGCAAAGACCCCAGAGCACAGTCTAAAGGCACATAGTATAGCAACCTTGCTGAAAATGAGTACATTTGAATCTGATAAGTGCTTGGTTTTGAGACTACCCCTGGGTACTTCATGTATGCTGCTTTGAGTTTCATGGAAGAAAGGTGGCATATAAATGTTATATAAATACAGGTCTTAAGACAGGTTTGAATGCTACTTTCTCACTTCTGATCATGGGAGGAAGGGAATGACCAAACTAACATACTGTGTGGTTATTTGAATGTTGGCTCCCCTTATTCAGACTTTTTTTCTCCCACGGTGGGAAGGAGTGTACAAATATGATTCTGAAACCGGCTTCCAATCTCTAATCATAGGTTATCCCGGGCTGAGGAAAATCAGCATATGAACAGTTTCATATATTAAAAGTAGCTAATCAAATCTACTGCAGTAATGATATTCTAACAACAAATTTGTTTTTATTTAATTTAAAGACACGGAAACTAGATTTGTATTTTGAATATGAAGAGAAAATCATGAGCAAGTCGACCTTGGATAAATCACTTTTGGACATGATTTCTGATCCTGATGGTAAGTAAAAAAATAATAATTTACTATAAAGTTTCTTTCTGTTCATAACATTCTGAGAATTGTTGCCATATAAACAAGCTCATGCTATTAAACACTTTCTGCCTGGGAACTTGAAATACCACTGCCGGTTGGATATCATATCATACACAATATATCACCGTATGTTATTGTTTGGTATGTTTATTCTTTAAATGTCTTACCTTTTAAAATTTGGCCAGTCTTCTAAAGTTTGCACATTCAGCTTACAAACTAAAGTCAAAGGGTAGGCCTCAGGAACTCCTGGTCCAATTGCTTCAGCAAGTAGAGGATGCTAGCTAGGGCTATAAAGAACCCCAGCTAGCTCAGCATCTTAACCCCAGTAACAAAGCATCAAGCCAAGGTAACAGGCGAGTTCGGCTGCAGGGTGAGAAGGCTAGGGCAGACTACTTTGCCCTTCTCCTTTGTGAACTAACAAATTCCCTAGAAAACTAATTCAATAGGCTACAAAAACAGATAGGTTGAAAGACAACAGGGATGAGCGATATCCAGTGTATTGTACAGAATGTCACACGTATTACTATCTGCCTGCTGGACAGAAGTGGCGGGTGTATCCTCGATTGATGGATACACTGAGCTCCTGGCCCTCAGGCAACAAGTACCTTTCCTTGAGGCCAAGTAGGCTGAGTTGGAACAACTGATGGAAAAGTCCTTCAGAGATGTGATAGCTGTGTCACACTCCCAGAGTGATAGCTTTGTCTTGACAAATCCTCCTCCTCTGATGGCAACTTCCCATACTTCAGGCTTAATATCATGCTTCATGAGTACTCTTTTTATTTTTTATTATAATTTTTTATTGGTTTTTAAAATAATTTTATACACATTTAATATAACCATTTCAAGCATTCTTTTGAGCCTTCGGACCTTCTTCTCTCTCTCCATGTATTCCATGTTTAAGATTAAATTTGCAGCATCTTTTACCATTATCCATCTGTTATACTACCATAATTATCCTAAATCATTCCACATTACAAGTGTCATTGCATCCCTGCTAAAGATTTTAACTGTTTACAGTACTCTTTTTTTTTAAAGGCTGCTTATTTAGTTGTATATAAAACATTTGTTGTATGTTACTAAACTTAGTTCACTTCATTGAAACAATTCAAAGTTTTCCTGCCTATGATATTGTATACCAAATTGCTTTTAATTACACAGATTATTATTATTAAGAGAGAGAAAATTAATTCAGAACTTTTCTTTCCTCAGCGGGAACTGCAGAGGACAAGATGCGACTGTTTCTTATATATTACATAAGTTGTGTACAGTGTCCTTCTGAGGTATGGATTTTTTATGAAACGGTCACACAATTTCATTAGGAATCCTTCCCAGTGTTTTGCTCTTACTTGGTAGTATGCTGTGGCACTGGCTGTAGACAGAGCATAGAAAATGCAGGCCTGAGTCAGGTTGACAGACACATGTTCTTCTGGAGTTTAAAAGTAGGAGATTTACAAGCTACTGCTATTTTCACTCCAGTACTATGTGCAGGCATTGTTTCACCACTTGCCTCTGTGGGCACAAAGAAACAGAGCAACTTCAGTGTGTTAAGTGTAAAATTCTTGTCCATAGATGCCCTGTCCTGAAAAGTAAAGGTAGGCAACGTTGAGGATCTCAATAAAGCGTTTTATACCACTAAGAAAGAACTCTATAAAAGTTTACTGCTTGGCAATGCAGTCCTAAACATGTTTACTCATATGGTCTTTCTAGCTTCCCCAGCCGCCACACTTGAAGCTAAATTCTGAAACGTTGCCAAATATTTGGTCACAACTAACCAAATTTGTGAGGAGCTTTGGTGTGTTTTCTTGAAATAAAGAAATACGTATTTGGCAGTGACAGGAAATTGGAAGCATTTATTGTATTTTTTAATTATTCTAGATCACTTCCTATAAATATATTATCAGAACAGCTTAAATAGCTTAAAATGCAATAAGTCAATTAGGATAATTATTATTTGAGGTGACTAAAGATAATCTGTATTAAAAATACAGATTATTTTTCTATTTCCACATGGCCAAGGAGTCTCTGGATTTGCATTCATCATGAAACATACCCTGTAATACAGCAAGGGAAGAGTGTAGCTTTTTTAATGCTAGCCTTTCTAAAGTGTATTTCATAGGAGCTGACTGACACACAGAGTGAGATCAGGTGCTTCAGCCTGCAGGTGGAGAATCCTTACTTGAATGCTTGCTCGTGTTAAAAAAAATATTCTGCACAAAGAAGAGTAACATGTAGGACTCCTCTTTTATGATAACTTGGATCTTATTTAATATGCATTTTTTATTTTAAATTTGAAAATGCAGTTTACTGCTAAATTTAGAAGACATGTAACACATCTCAAATCTCCTGTTTGATTCTAGGCGGATCTGGAACAATACAAAAAAGCGTTGACAGATGCAGGGTGTAATCTTAGTCCCTTAAACTACATTAAACAATGGAAGTAAGTTATTTTTGTTTTCATAAAGCAATGAAATTATATATTGCAAAAACTTTGAGAGACCTGGAGTTGCAAGAAAATGTCTACTGTCTGGCTACTGGGCACTTCATCCTGTCCCTCTTTCCCCTCAAACAATTCAACAAAAATGCATTAGATACTACCATGCACACTAAAAACTTATTCTGCTTCAAAATATAGTGCCTCAGATTCTCACGATTGTGGAGCAGCAGTCAGATTCAGCATCTGCAGTCATACATTGTTTAGTACCATAGTCACATCTCTAGGGGAGAAGGGTCTTCATAGTGATTACCAGAAATTTTAAAGTATTAGAATATAACATTTCCAAACCAAACTGGCCTAAGACTTTTATAGGTTCAGGATGATAGCCAGTGTAATAGATAAGATTATTACAATTCTTTCTAAAAAATACCTTTTTTTCTTTTCTTTTTAAGCTATTCCCTCCTGTCCCCTTTGACCCCTTTGACTTTGAACATGTATTGAAATTATTTGTTCTGCTTTGAACACAGAATTTTCTCTATAATACTTTCAAAACGGTTTCTTTTTGTGAATTGTGAAGCTGAAGTATTTGGGAGGTAGTAAAGTAGGAGACAGGTGTTATTTGTAGTATGTGCTTATTATTACTCATGTTGCCTTTCTAATGTGAAGTAAAGAGCAGTTTCATCCTCAAATGCCTAGAAAGGCTAGATTTTCAAACTTAATGCTTCTTTCATGGTATAATTGGTAGATTTAGTAGTGTTCTGATGAAAATAAATTAAGTGTGCAGATATTAACTTACTTATTTCACAGAGCTTTTGCCAAGATGGCTTCAGCTCCAACTACGTATGGAAACAGTGCAGCCAAGTCTCTGGGGTAAGTTTCAAAGTACATTTTGTTACTGCTACTTGAAAAGCCTTGCCTTTTTACTGGGAACAAGTTGAGTGCTGCCTCTGATCGCTTCTGCCTGTGAGGTTTAACTTCTCTTAGGTTATTTATTTATTTATTTATTCATTTATTTAATTTACTGCCCTGGGCTTTCGGTTCCAAAGGACTCCCAAAGTGGTTTACTATTAGAACAACAAAGAGTGAAACAAAATTCAATGAATATTATGTAGCAATGAAATTGTATAATATATGTAAAAGCAACAGAAAAAAATAAATTCAAAAGCAGATTCGTAGTAGCAGTAATAGTAATATTGGTATGCAGTATTGCAGTATTGGTATGAATTGGTATGCTTTGCTGAAGATTCAGGATTTCACTGCTTGGCAGTTTCCCACCAGCAACCCTCGTTCTACTCTCTAGAGGCTGTTTCAATACAGAGCTTCCCAAGCATTACATTGGTTAAAGTAGATGCAAAATTTATTTTCCATACAAAAAACAAAAACAAAAAAAACTAATAGTCTGATTGTGTAGATCCTAATGGAATAGAAGAAAAGTGTGGTAAAATATTTCACACGCAGGTTTTTTCCTATTAATTTTATTTTTTGTTTTAAAAATTCAGTTAAATAAAATAAAAAAATGAACAAAGAAACAAAAGGTGCATTAAAAAATAAACGATATTCAGATAAATCGGAAACAGAACAAAAGGGAGTGGTGGCAGTTCTTCATATCTTTGATGCTTAATTTCTGTTTCTTACCTTCATATGGTATAGTTCACCATTATAATAATTTTTTTAACACCTGAAAGTACACAAAATCATGCTCGATGTGCTCTTTATGTTTTAGCCTTTTCTCACGTGTCATGAATACAGGATCCCAGTTTGTGATGGAAGGAGTCAAGAATTTCGTGCTAAAGCAACAGGTGCGTTTAACAATGTAGATTCTATGTTGACGAACATTAAGCATGTTCATATTCTAGTATTTGAAACCAATGATATTTCACAGTATAACTAGAAAGCATGGGTTAGATTTCTTGGACTGCCAACAAGAAACTTTAAAGAAAAGGGCAAACTGTTTCTTAAGTTGCATGCAGCTCTTTGGCATTCAGTAGTTCATATGGGACACCTAGAATTTTAAAGAAATTGATAAGCGATACAAGAATAATCTACTACAGTTCCAGAATATCTCTGAAGACTTGTCTGTTCCCATCAGTCTCCATGCTACTACCTATTATTATATCGTCTCTTTCTTGACTGTTTCATAAGGAAGGAGGGTGGCAGATGAGTTGGGACCCAGTGAGAGCTTTGAAAGGGAAAAAAAAACAGGTGCTTTAAGACAAGCTGCAGGCTAACTGATTGAAGCTGCTTTTCCCAATATTGAGGCTCAAAGTTCAGTGGCTACTAACTTGGGCGCAGTTCCGTCAGTCTTAATATCCAGACCGCTTGTGTGCTGTTCCACCTGGTATGTCCATTGCTATTCCATCAGGGTGAAGGATGGGTAATGACCAAATAAATAAATAAATGCAATATCTGAATCACCTCTCTTTTTTTCTTTTTTACCCTGGGAACAAACACTCAGATAGTGTGTGCTTATTTTACTATGGCAGAGGCATGTATAGCAGGCCAACTGTATTCATTTTAAAATGAGGAAGGGCTCCAATAGCAATGTGAAAAGTGATCCAATTGTGTCTGTGCCTGTTTCTTTCCTAAGCTACATTGAACAACAATTTCTGCAATTTACTTGAATTAAGTACTCTCTTCTATAGAATCTTCCTGTCACCCGCATTTTAGACAACCTTATGGAGATGAAGTCCAATCCTGTAAGTACAGCAAACAAGCTTGCACATTAGATTTTATTTATAAAGTCCCTTTACCCTGGCCTTTGAAACCTGAGGTGTGTTTTCCAGATCCACCCTATACCTGTGACTAATTTGTTAACTGCTTTTAATACTGAATTGTAAATTGTTGTAACCCACTCTGGGTTCTGCTAGTGAAGGGTGTGCATTAAATTTAATAATTTTTTAAAAATACTGATATACACAATTTTGGTGCCATGAACTACTACTAATTTTAACATTATAGGAAGAAATTGTGTTTCATATCGTATCTGTAAATCTGCATGTACCACTTTACAGTTTAACAGAATGATGAAGCTGACCAAAACATAAAACTTCAACAAGTATTTCAGTATCATCTCATTACCTTTCCTTATTTGTGTGGGTGTAGATATACACACAAATAGGCCACCAAGGTGGTAAATACTATAGAAAAACCAACATCTGTGAGGTTGTATCATGAAAAACAGCTCCCAAACACAACTGAGGGCACATATTTTGGTGGCCTACGAGATGAATCTCTATAAGATAATTCCATTCAGAAGTTTTTGTACATTGGTATGCACAAGAATAAACTAAATTTCTGAAAATTGTTGTGGATTCATTTGGGAGGAGGTTTTTTTAATTCTACAGATATAATCTGGAAAATATAGCCTAGTGAGAGTTATTTCTTCTTCAACCTCCTTGATAAAAGTAACTGCAAAAGTAGAGACAGAAAAACTGGTGCTATTTGCCAATAAAAATATTGAGTGTCTTTGAGGGAGGAAAAAAACCTTCATATCATAATGATGTCAACAGTAAAAAAAAAAAATGTCATGCCTCATGTTTTCTAAAAACAAACTTATTTTGCTTTAATAGTACTAGTAAATCATGGGCTGAAATAAATTTGACTGGTGCATCATTTCAACATTCATTGCCATTTTTGAAAAGAAAGCAGGCAATCTTGGTTACTATATGGGGGGAAAACATACTGTTGGGGGACCTAGTGTGAGATCTAAAACTAGTGACATCTTTAGATTAATATATTGCTTCAGAGCTAGAACATATTACGCAAGTAGTATATTTTGAAAAGTTTGGGAGTTGTGAATTTCCCATGAGCCACCTCTTCTCACCCACCAGCTGGTAGCAGCTAACATAGGTATTTTACCAATGTGACTGAATGAATATTGGTGGCTGCTAGCATATGTGTTTGTTTTTATGTATGAATACTTCTAGATTTGTAAGTTGGGAAATGGATTAATAGAAGCCACAGTAGTCAAACTTGTGGGACTGAACATAGCAATAAATTGTTACCAAGATTTCTCTTGTTAAATAGGAAACAGATGACTACAGGTATTTTGACCCTAAGATGTTGCGTGGCAGTGACAGGTGAGTTTACCATGCAATTTTAGTAAGTGTGATGCCTGCCGTTTGAAATATAGTTAATGTGCAGTCTGTGTAACATTAAATAAAAGAGTAAAGAAACCATTCTCTTATCTGGATCCTCCTGTACACATGCCAAAATCTGCACTTGGCCCAAGATTTTGAGGGTTCACAAAGAGGAGAAAAAGATGAAGTTCTCTTGTCTGAACAGAACTCTACTACAACTCATGTGTTCTGGGATGTGCTTTTCTAATGTTTAAGTTAAATGTTTAGGTGACCGAGTGCCATTCTCATTAACAACCATCTTGGGCCCTATGATCAGCAGAGGAGGCCCTGTTAGTGGACCCACTACTAAGGGTTCCCGGGTTGGCAGTGACCAATGACAGGGCCTTTGACATTCCCTCATTTGTGGAATGCCCTCCCTAATAAGATGTGTCTGTCTTCCTCACTATGAACTTTTAGGAGAAATTTTGAAACATTCCTGTTAACCCAAGCATTTGATGGCTGAAAGTTCTGTTCCTGACAACCCTGAAATGGTTAGTTTGAGAATATGCGATTGATTTTAGGAGCTTTAAACTTTTTTTAGAAGCTTGAACAGTGGCAATTTCTGCCTTGTGAACCACTAAAGGTCAACTGAAGTCCTCTAGAGCAGCAGGTTCTCTAATTGCATTGTCACCAAAGAGTTAGCCCTTACACAAATGCCCCGAGCCTGAACCTGGCAAGCAGGAGAAGGAACACAGTCCCACTTAGAGGAATATTAATACCCAGTCACAAACACATTTTAGGTAAGACCAACGCTCCTGTTTTATAGTTCAAGGTGTTTATGAATATTGAATGCTTGATGTTTAAAAGATAACTGAGCTTTCAATAAAGTTTTTATTTATTCATTTCAGCTCAGTTCCAAGAAACAAAAATCCATTTCAGGAGGTAAGAACAGATCGTACTTCTCCAAATCAGTGGTATGAACATTTGCTTTAAATATAATAGATGTTGGTCACTCCTTACAGAAAATTGGATCCCGTTATATGAAATCATTAGTGTGATTACAGTTTTGTTAAATGATATTCAGAACTAGTAAGCTCCTTTCATCTTCAAAGAGTCAAGTAAGCATAAGCTAATCTTTTCCAACATTCTTAACACCCTGGCCTTAAACACATTTACTTAAGATATTAGGAGAAATTAATTGTAAAGAAATGTGTTTAGGTTCTTGGTTGATGAGCAATTTAAAATGTAAAATGTCACTTCTAAGGAGCAATGTAAAACGTAACTTCAAAAAAAATTTCACCATTTTGCTGAAAGTGGGTACACACTAAAAACACACATTCTGCACCTTTTTTCTCTCTCCTAACTTTGACCCAGTCCCAGCATAATAGCCCTGTGCAGACAATATTGCACAAGGGAGATATCGGTATTTGGTTTTAATGTTGGGAGTATCAGTTAAAGGTCCTGGTCTGGTCATTCACTTCTCTGTGTTGGGGAAAAGAGCTGTGAGCAAGCTCAGAGTCTCTTCCCAGTCTTTCCTAGGTACAATATTGGAGTTGATGGTCTTGTTTGAACAGTAACTGGTTTTCCTCTATAGAGAATTACACATGAAGGAAAGCACATGAAAAACACTATTGGGATGCACAATTCAGAAGCAGTTCTCAAACAGAAAACTGGGTTTCTGACTCCTACTGCTTATATATCTTTCCTACAAAATCCCTATTTTTACAGGGAAATGTTGCTAAGAACAAAAACCAGTTTTGACTTCTCTGATCATATTTTGTAATAGAATGTAGAAATGGTTAAGCTTAAATATGTTGATATACAGCTCCAATATTATGGTCAAACAGAATGAAGTTAATTGAATATTACATCAGCTGTGCGCCTTCACTTCCAGAAGTGTGGGCATGAGGACAAGGCCTTCTGTGTTGTGGTGCCAAGGTTATGGAATGCCCTTTCCAGGGGAGCCCTGCCGGGCTTCTTCTCTGCTCTTCTTCCAGCAGGCAGTAAAATTGCAGTGTTTTAAAATGTTATCTAATGTAAATTTTGATTTATTGGGGAGTTTTTTTAATTGGTTATGGTGGTTATCATTTTTTAGATGAAGTTTACTATTTTGATGTTGATTGATGTCGAGTATTTCCCTGAAATAGAAAAGCAGACTGCAAATATTTACGAAATAAATATGATTCAATACTTTCCCGTTAAATGACTATTTTGTCATGAAACTGCTATTTTAAATTAGAATTGGATCAAATATAAATAGTTCAATGCTCTTAACTGCAAAAATAAAATATCTAAACTCTATGGCAAAATAAATTGTGTGGATAATTAGCTGCCTTTGGCAAAATACATGAGGCACAATCTGTCGTTGTGTGAGGACCCTTAGAAACTTACCCTGCCAAATAAAATCCACTCTAGAGGGTTCTCCAGCCCTTCAGAGCAGAATTGATGGCATGAAAGAGACTACAAGAAAGGAAGAGAGTTAGGTGAAGTCCCGTTGTGCAAGTGGAAGTCTGTTGTCTTCAAGGGTGGACAGCATCGGATGAAGCCCATGATTTATATGTTTGTATATTTATCTATTTTTAATGTGATGCTGCATTTCCACTATAAAAAGTCCCATAAGGCGTAAATCAAAACACATTCTGTCCTGAGATAAATATTATGAAGGGAAATATATTAATACCTTAAATAAATAAAAAAGTAATTAAAATCACAATAATAAATAGCATCTGTGGTAGTAACTTAACTCAATAAAAATAAGTGAGTGTTTAAACTGACGTTTTGTTACTAGATGGACATTTTTTGCTTTGGAGAATTAAAAGAAAATTTGACTGTTTATCCACAGTAATCATACATTTTCTAGAACAGGAGTGGCTAATCTTACATTGTAATAAGGGTGACATTGACCTCAAAATTTTGAAGAGGCCAGGGATTCTTCTGTCTTTATAAACACACAAACACACACACACACACGAGAGAGAGAGAGAGTTCCCGCCGGGCTCTGCAGGCTTGCGGATAGGTGCTTGCAGCCCGAAGCCCGTGGAGCGCGGCGCTGCGCACCCCGGGCTTAGGGCAGCTATCTGCAAGCCTGCAGAGTCCGGCGGGAGTTCCTCGCCTTCGCTCCCCGACCCGTTCTGGGGGCTGGGGTCGGGAAGCTTGGGCTTCCCCCGCCCCCCGCCCGTCAAGCTCCGGGAGCGATGGCGAGGTTGAGCGGGATCCATGGCTTCTTTGCTCTTTGGGGCTCGGGGGGGAAATAAATTTTTCTCCCCTTATTCCCCCCCCCCAAAAAAACTAGGTGCGCCCTATGGTCCGGTGTGCCCTATAGAGCGAAAAATACAGTAACTGCACTGCTTCAGGCTGGCATAGTTAATGGTCCAAATTCAGGTCCACAGGAGCAAAGCAACTTTGGATTTAACAGATTCAGGACCAATCCCAGGATTGAACTCTACATCCACAGAGCTTTTCCATGGGCATACCAAGGTCTCCATGGCAGGTAGATCATTGAGTTAGTGGATCCACATTTGTGCCCCATCTTACCCTCCCCAAAAGGATTTGGCAGGATTATAGGATTGCTGTGCCCAGATTTTGAGATGCAGTCTAAAGGTTTAAACAGCTGAAAAGTTCTGTTTCTACCATCACAAACCGAGTACTTTCTTGGTACTCGGCTTTTTGATGCCCTGAAATTCATCCAAATAACACAAATTCAACTGTTTTAAAAATATGACGAATTTGTATCTTCTTTCTGTAGCAAGCTTAGAATGCAGCAGTAGCTACAGAATATTATTTGTTTCATTTGTTTTTGCATTGTAGGCAATTGTGTTTGTAGTTGGAGGAGGCAATTACATTGAATACCAAAACCTTATTGATTACGTAAAGGTATGTTACCACTTTATGAGTTTCTTTTATTATTATATCTCTTCTTGCATTTTTTTGCATGCCTCTCTGGGGTACACAAGTGGACTTCCTTTTTCATTTTAATCACAAGTATAGACGTGTACACAGATATATGTGCACCATGCTTCCTCCTCCATTGAAGTAAATGGGAAGGCAGCAGCACACACATGAAATTAATACATCGGGTCATTTATATAATGGTAAAGTCAGTGATTTATTTCTTCAGTTTCTTTAACTTTCTACCGCAAACAATTACGTTTCTTTGTGGTATGTTTGAAACACAAGTGAGGGTTGAAATGCAGATTCACAAATTTATGGTTTTATTTATATTGTTTGTTTTGAAAATGCTTTGAAAATGTTTTTAACAGAAAGATAGGCTAAATAGGGAAGCCCCGTATAGGGAAGTTTTTAATGTTTGATGTCTTACTGTGTTTTAATTTGTTGGAAGCCACCCAAAGTGGCTGCGGCTACCCAGTCAGATGGGCGGCATATAAATAAATTGTTGTTCTGGTTGTCAATTGCTTATATACAACAATGGGGGAAAACTGAGCTCTCTTCCTGCTACACTGCAGTTCTTAAAAAAAAACACACACCTCCATTCTCTGAAGTTGTAGAATGGCCTTCCTAATATAAAATTGAGCAATGTTTTGATTAAATTTGTGTTGTCTCACATAGGGCAAGCAAGGTAAACATGTCTTATATGGCTGCAGTGAACTCTTTAATGCTGCACAGTTTTTAAAACAGGTAAGAATTTAAATGATAATGCAGTTATCATTTTAAAATATAATGCACAAGTCAACTAAAAGTTTTTTTCAACAAGTCTTTTTATTTCTGGTATTCATCGTAAACCCAAGAAAGGCCCATCAAGTTTGTTGGTTCATTGCGCTTGGCAAGATGTTCACTGCTCATAGAAGTGCTATAGAGGAAACAAGCTGGCAGGGAGGGAGAGAATACACACTTTGCATGCATACTTCACAGCTATCTGAGGCATGTTTTTTTTAAAATGTGGGGTGATTCGTCAGCTAGATTGAAAACAGCATGCAAGTTTCTCAGATGTTGCTTTGGGTGGGCCAGCACCAACTCCATTGAATTTGCAAAGTCTTTTCCAACCTATTGGGAAAGTGAACCAGAAACCTGGTGTAAAACAAGCCTCTCAAATTTGCTTCTACTTACCCTGCTGCTACTTGTTTCCTCAACAGCAGCCTGTTCATCCTGTGTGAAGGGAGGGCTGTGTGAAGCAGAAAAAACCAGGAACGAGTAAAAGTGGTGTCCCTATTAAAGTGATCTTCCCTCCACTATGTAGCAGTGCTAAAATAACTTCCTCTCCTGATGGTCAGAAGGTTTAACAGCTTGGCTTAGTTAGCATTGCTGGTCATACTTCCCCTTCCAGATGTTTTGTGCATATTAAATCTTTTTCTAGTAGTATTAGAGCAAAGTAATATCTGAGTATTAAGTTTTTATGTTTTAAACCACGCTGTGATCTTTGGAAGAAGGGTGGTATATAAATTTAATTGATTATTATTATTATTATTATTATTATTACATAACAAGTACCCATAATGGAGTTCTTCTGCAAAGACATGAAAGCATGATTCACACCTATACTGTACTAGGTGTTTATTTTGGGGTTTCCCCCCTATGAGCCTTTTGTGGGCACACAGCACCCTACATGCAGATGAATCCCTGTAGGACTTAAAATAAATTGGTTTGCCTTCATCCCATGGAAATCTTGGAAATGGAAGATCTGACCCAGGCAACTTGTCTAAGTGGAGAGATGGAGTATGATGCGGAGATGACACACATCCAGGTCTCCCATTCAGACAGTTGTGCTGTCTCTTGTCATGCTCAAGAGAGAAGGGCTGTGTACCCACAGGGAAGAATCATTCCTTAACTAAAAATATTGCTTTGTTTCAGGAGTGGGGAATCTATGGTCCTCCAAATATTGCTATATAACTCCTATCATCCCTGACTATTGGACATCCTGTCTAAGGATGAGAGTCCAGCAACATCTGCAGAGCCACAGATTCCTCAACCCTGCTCTATTTAATGAAACATTATTGAGAAAATAAATTATTTTGAGTCTGAAAATATTGCCTACTTTGTTTCTCTTTAGTAATACATTAGTACACAATATTTGGATGAAGTCAGTTTTCTCCTTATAAACTGGAGTATAATGGGTAATCTAACGTTTTTCTTATCTTTTTATATTTAGCTTTCCCAACTTGGACAGAAATAGGAAAAGATTATCTGGCCTTTTGACAAAATGTGAAGAAAAGATCATGGCAACATGTAACATCTTAACCTGTGCATAGTATTTAAACCTCAAATGATCCCTTAAACTGATAATTTTTATTAAAGGATATTCTGTACTTCTATATATATAAGACATACTACATGCAGAATAATATCAAATAAACCACAACACTTGGATTCTGCCTGCTGTGATATTTCTTCAATTTGTTTATATGTTGTTAGATTCAAGTGATAATTTATCGGTAGGCTATTGCATCTGGAATGTAATTTGTACTAATATTTTTCATTTAATTTGTTGGAATAAATTAAGCTCAGATCCCTCCTAAGGAACACGTTCCATTTTAGCTCAGCTGTGTAATTTTATCTAGCTGTGAAGGCATTCAATTCTGTGTGCATAGATTATTAATCATTCATTCATCTTTCATCTTTCTTGTACAAGGTGGCTTTTCAGTTCTTCTTACCTTCAAAAGCCTTTGATATGGAAACACTTCATTTTGCCTGGGGGCAGAGCGGGGCGAGACTTTTGTACCAGCCTAATGAGTCTTGAGAGATCTGTGATCATCGCTGTACTATGTGAACATTTACCAGTCGTATATTCTATAACCTGTGAATTATTGCCGATGCCCCACACACATAGTTCCACAGGTGCAATGGGACTGCCATTTCTTCTACAGCCCCCAAAATCTGCTCCAAACAGGCCTCCAGCACTCTGAAGCTGATTTTGAAGGTGTGCAGGGGCTGGAGGGAACAGTAGAGGAAGTTCATTTGCAAGCACAGAAGTCCATTATGCCATTGGAGTGTTAGTTGCAGACCCTTCTTCTTCTTCCTCTTTGGCGATCACTCGTAGCCGAGTAAGATTGTCTTCCATAAACACGGTTTTAACAATGAGTCCGTAAGTGACTGTGGAGGCCAATTCTGGATCCACACGTCCTTCCACAGTGGGGACATTGGTTTCCGGGGGGGAGAGAGTTGATCACAGTGTGGATTTGCCAAGCGTGCCTTCCTCTTAGCACGTTTCTCCCTTGTGTCCTGAGTTTGGGTATCTTCAAAGCCCATGACACCTTTAGTCTCAGTATTGCCCACCCACCCCCCGTCAGTGTCTACGTGTAATATATGGTTAATAACAACTCAGACAGACAACAATCTGGATTAAAAATGACCACAACTTTATTGGTTACAGATGTAGGTGGAATTTATCCAAGTACTTGGGTTTCAACACAGATTTAAGGACTCTGCAGCCTTGAAAATGGCAAGCTGGGAAGGGGGGGGCGCAAATAGCAACCTACCATTAAAAACTCTTGGGACAAGAAATAATTACTCTTTGCGTCCCCACCTGCCATTTTGCTGATGGGTGGGAAATAAACTGGGATTTTAATCCAAGCCCCAGATTCAGTAGAATTCTAATCCCAAATTACCAAACTGATTTCCAGACCAGAACACCACAACCTGCATCAACCTGTAGATGAAGGGAACGCAGTGGATGTAGCCTACCATGATTTCAGCAAGGCATTTGACAGGGTGCCCCATGATATTCTTGTAAAGAAGCTGGTAAAATGCGGTCTTGACTATGCTACCACTCAGTGGATTTGTAACTGGCTGACTGACCGAACCCAAAGGGTGCTCATCAATGGTTCCTCTTCATCCTGGAGAAGAGTGACTAGTGGGGTGCCACAGGGTTCTGTCTTGGGCCCGGTCTTATTCAACATCTGTATCAACGACTTGGATGATGGACTCAAGGGCATCCTGATCAAATTTGCAGATGACACCAAACTGGGAGGGGTGGCTAACACCCCAGAGGACAGGATCACACTTCAAAACGACCTTGACAGATTAGAGAACTGGGCAAAAACAAACAAGATGAATTTTAACAGGGAGAAATGTAAAGTATTGCACTTGGGCAAAAAAATGAGAGGCACAAATACAAGATGGGGGACACCTGGCTTGAGAGCAGTACATGTGAAAAGGATCTAGGAGTCTTGGTTGACCACAAACTGGACATGAGCCAACAGTGTGACGCGGCAGCTAAAAAGCCAATGCAATTCTGGGCTGCATCAATAGGAGTATAGCATCTAGATCAAGGGAAGTAATAGTGCCACTGTATTCTGCTCTGGTCAGACCTCACCTGGAGTACTGTGTCCAGTTCTGGGCACCACAGTTCAAGAAGGACACTGACAAACTGGAACGTGTCCAGAGGAGGGCAACCAAAATGGTCAAAGGCCTGGAAATGATGCCTTATGAGGAATGGCTAAGGGAGCTGGGCATGTTTAGCCTGGAGAAGAGGAGGTTAAGGGGTGATATGATAGCCATGTTCAAATATATAAAAGGATGTCACATAGAGGAGGGAGAAAGGTTGTTTTCTGCTGCTCCAGAGAAGCGGACACGGAGCAATGGATCCAAACTGCAAGAAAGAAGATTCCACCTAAACATTAGGAAGAACTTCCTGACAGTAAGAGCTGTTCGACAGTGGAATTTGCTGCCAAGGAGTGTGGTGGAGTCTCCTTCTTTGGAGGTCTTTAAGCAGAGGCTTGACAACCATATGTCAGGAGTGCTCTGATGGTGTTTCCTGCTTGGCAGGGGGTTGGACTCGATGGCCCTTGTGGTCTCTTCCAACTCTATGATTCTATGATCTCTTACTCCAATATAAACGTGAATGAAAATCCATTCAGACACTCTTTCTAAAATTGGGAAGGAAGGAAGGAAGGAAGGGAGTGAGCTGTGTGTCTCACTGATAATGATGAGTTACTTTGCTCTATGGATTGACATTATCTAAAGTAAACTCAAATACATATCAAGCATTTTACCAAGGCTATAAAATAACCCTTAGTGTGTATATCCCTGTGCCATTTTCTTCAAATCCTTTACTGCCCCCTCCCCCTCCCTCCAAATGCTCCTACCATCACAGGCAGTGATAATCCAGATTTCAAACAAAGGTACATCCAGATTTCATAGGCCATTCATCACCCTGGGGAAATTAGGTATCACAATTAGCATTTTGAAAATGAAGCTGCACATGGGAGTTATTTATTTGCAAGATTTTCTGTACCAGCATCAAGAAAGCTATCAGAGCCAGCATAAAATCACTAACAAGGTTACATTCATAAAAGAAATGAAAAATACATCACAAATCAGTCAATTAAATTAATACAACATAGCTGAAACTGCCTAGTGAGACAGCAATAATAATTTTAAAAAAAACAGCACATTTGCAAAGTTAAGCAGAGTCCAGTATGGTTTCACATTGGATAGGGGACTCTCTGTTGAGATTTCTGCATTGCAGAGTGTTGGACTAGGTGACCCTAGGGATCCCTTCCATCGCCACAGTTCTATGATTCTGTGAATCCTTCAGGGAAAGCCTGGGTGAACAGGTGAGTTTTATGCCAGTAAATAAATGCCAATACAGTAATTACCTGCCTCATGTTAATTGGAAGTGCACACCAAAAGGCAGATACTGCCACACTACAGGTTCTGGTCTTGTTGTTGTTTAGTCGTTTAGTCGTGTCCGACTCTTCGTGACCCCATGGACCAGAGCACGCCAGGCACTTCTGTCCTCCACTGCCTCCCGCAGTTTGGACAGACTCATGCTGGTAGCTTCGAGAATACCATCCAACCATCTCATCCTCTGTCGTCCCCTTCTCCTTGTGCCCTCCATCTTTCCCAACATCAGGGTCTTTTCCAGGGAGTCTTCTCTTCTCATGAGGTGACCAAAGTACTGGAGCCTCAACTTCACGATCTGTCCTTCCAGTGAGCACTCAGGGCTGATTTCCTTAAGAATGGATAGGTTTGATCTTCTTGCAGTCCATGGACTCTCAAGAGTCTCCTCCAGCACCATAATTCAAAAGCATCAATTCTTCGGCGATCAGCCTTCTTTATGGTCCAGCTCTCACTTCCATACATCACTACTGGGAAAACCATAGCTTTTACTATATGGACCTTTGTTGGCAAGGTGATGTCTCTACTTCTGGTCTTAGTGGGAATAAAATAAACCTCAGAAGTATAGAGCCCAATAGTGTCTCTCCCAAGGATCAAATTAACCAGGCAGGGCTATACAAAACAAGCTTGAACGTAACCTGGTTCCAAGTTATCAAAAGTAGGTTAGATGGACTAGTGCCAAAATTTTGAGACAATCTTGCTTCAAGATAAGCATGTAGTCCAGGGATGGTGAACCTCAGGCCCTAGGGTCAAATGTAGTCTTCCGGGGCTCTTTACCCAGCCTTTGGAACTTTCCAATGCCATGCCTCTCACCAGCGGTGCTCTGCAAATAAATCCTGGATTTATTTTGCGTGGCTAGAATGGATCCTCGAACCATCGCATCACAATGCCTTTTGCTTCTCTAGAAAGAGGGTGAGGAGTGGAAGGGTAGAAACCTCTGACTATGGCTGGAATGTAGCTCATTGCAAAAAGGTAAGAATCGTCCATTTTGCCCCCCACTTTTGCCTCTGGAAACTTTTGCCCAACGCTGGCATGCAGGCCCCTGAAGGCTGCCCATAAGGGAATTGCAGCTCTTGGGCTGGAAAAGCAATCCTCACCCCAATCAAGTTGATTCCCCGGCTTGTCAGTCTATTTGCATTCTTTTGCCAAGGGGGGATTTCCCATGTATGAAATCGCACAATGCACTGAGCTATCGAAAGCTGTTTTAGCATTTGAGCAAGCCTACCTCAAGCACTGGGAATATTCTTCACTAATGTTCTCTGGCTGCTGCATGGTAAAATTTGGAAGATTCAGTATATTGAGGAGGAGGAAGCAAAATGCTGGCTGGTGAGGAAGGTCGCTCAAGGCATTAGATTATCTTTGCCCCTTCCAGACTTCGATTATGTTAGTCTAAATACAAACTGAGGCTGGGGGCAAGTGCAAGTTCTTTTGGAATGGCTGCTTCACTTTCGCCTAATCACCTTGTTCTGCTTGCCCTGCGAGACAGATCTGGGTCGCAGAGACAGTTGTGAACGTCAAGACCTCGAAACTTCGAATGCCTCCAGCATTTATGGTGCTACAAATTACTCTAAGTTATGTAGAGCAACTGACAGAGTGTGCCATTGCATCATCCATCCCCTCAGATAGGCACTTACAGCATGGTTGCAATAGGTATTGTCTTTATTCTGTTGTGGGTGCTTCATTCCCTGACTTGTAGGTGTGCTGCTACGGACAGTAGGTAGTGCTGATGGACAGCTCCAGCCTGTTGCAGAGTAACAGGTCTCATTTTGAAGTCTTAGGTAAGTAGACAGTTCGTTCCTGTTATGTTTTCCTGAGTGGTCATACAAGGCATATTGGACTTTGCTTAAAAGAAAGGGGGTCCTAGAAAATCTGGACCATGGTTTTCCAGGTTATTA